CTTTCTGGGCATTCTTTATGCTGTGTTGTAGTTGCTTATGTCAGCCAGAAGCTGTTGACTCAAAATGAAAGGATTTGTCGTGAAGCAATGTAGCATCCATAAGCTATAGATGACTATATCGCAGCTGTGACAAGTCCAAATGGGAGCTCAATGAGGTTTCATTCCTCAAACACAAATCCAGTCTTAATGACCCTCTTGAGGCTTATCCTCTGGCCTGATCCTGCCCCCATACCTGGCTTTTCTGATAGGCTGTTAGTATCTTTTTGTTTTTGAGGACTTAGGGAATGGGTACAGTGCACACTGATATTTTATCAGCGGGGTTTGAGTCGTGATTGATGTTGGTTTTTAATCCTCAGTTTTTTCTATGATTTGTATCTGATTTTGTTAATTTAAATTTTCTGTTAGACAGTGTTCAATTTTGAACAGCACAGTATAAATGTTTCAGATTTTTTTTTTAAAAGGTATTTAAATTCATTATTCAGCTCTTGATTAGAAATTCTGTAGGATTAAGCAGGTACTTAATGAAACAGGCACAAGACAGATTGGTCTACATAGCTGCCAGGGTCTGCTGCTTCACTGAACAAAAGGAAAGTTTTTACATGCAACATTACCTTTAGTAAACAACAAAACAATATTAACTTGGTATGAAAAGGCAACATTCATCCAAATTAGGACCCACGGGTCTATTGTATTATGTGTTGTATACTGTAATTATATCAATAGATCTAGCAATATTGACAAATTGGTTAACACAGTGCATGTTCAAACAGGAAAATGTCACAATGAAAAACAGGTTCTTCAAAGGAAAGAGAGAGAGAGGACAAGCAAACACTCAACCAAATGTGAAAATAGGCAAGAATGAAGCATATAGTTCATTTGTTACAAGCATTCCAACATGCTAGGGTTTGAAACGCTATATATATATTCTCAACACTGGAGCCACATCAGACAGAAGACTGAGGGCTTCTCCACGCTTACCCTTTTGCCCAGCTCTCTCCAGGCAATGGTCCACACTTTAACATTCTTTAAAGTTGATTCGGAGCAAATGTCAATTCGGGGTTTTCACAGGGAAAGCTCTGGAGCAAAACAAAAGTTGCTCTGACACAGAGCTTTATAAAGCGTGGACCATGCCTAAAAAGAGCGGAGGAAAGGGAACACTGGATAAGCCCTTGGGAGTGGCCATGTGTGTGACGGAGCTCTTCTTCAGATAGCACCAAACCCTTTTGAAATGAATCCTAATTCTGCCTTGATACCTGTTCTTTAAAGTTGAAATATTCTTTATCAAGAGCGCTTCAGTGAACCAAGGGCTTGTCCACATCAGCAGAAGGTGGATTTGCACGGGCCTGTGTCCCCATTAATGCAGGAGCATCAACATGACACCCTCCCCATCCCAGTGTTGTCATGAACTGTTCCCCTTTGAAATGTGGGTTTGCTTGCTTGCTTGCTTGCTTGCTTGCTTGCTTGCTTGCTTGCTTGCTTGCTTGCTTTAATCTTTGGAAACCCCAACACTAATAACTCAAGAGTACATCTATGTTAGCTGCCTTCTTCCCAGCATTGATACCCCCTGAATGGGTTGCACAATGCTGTGCTAACTGCCTGTCCTGCTCATTTCCTTTCCTTCTAGGGAAACTGTCTTGCTTAACTCTCTTTCTCTTCCTTCTTTTTTATATGCTTCGCTTGACTAATATCAAGCAGGCATAAATAATCCCTTTTCTGCTTCTGGAGCACAGTTGGTTAAATAGGCAAATCTGTAGTCATTCCGTGACAGGCAGGCAGAGAATAATCTCTGCACCCACCTCCAGATACTGATCTAAATCGGCATTTTGCTGCATCAGCAAGCTAAAAATATCCCCTCTGTTTACTGCACTGGGCACGGTAGACTTCTACGAGAGCAATAGGAAAACAGGGAGGAGGCAAGCAAAGCATGAAAGGGGCTGCAGAAGTAGTGCCAAAGCAGCTTCCACCTTCTCACCTGTATATGTGTATATATACTGAATTTTCGGTGCAGGTAATGGCTTGTGTTGCTGTCTGTTTTAAGACTGTGATGGAAACATCCTGCTTGCTCTAAATAAATGAATAACCTGGAACAAAGGTTCCCAAGGCAGCTGTAATGTGTCCATAGTGCATGCATGGGATGCATTCTGCTGCTTGGGAGGTTTTCACTGTCTCAGCAGGCACAGAGGAAAAATGTACTGTATTCCGATCTTTCAAAGCAACCACTCTTCCAGCAAGGGAGGGATAAACCACAGCTGTACCAGTCTGGGGTCTCATCCATGCCATACATTTAGAGCATGTGGCTCCCCCCACCCACCCAGGTGTTATAAGAATGTTAATGTCTTAGATATGTACCGTATTTTTTGCTCTATAAGACTCAACTTTTCTCTCCTGAGAAGTAAGGGGAAATGTGTGTGCGTCTTATGGAGCGAATGCAGGCTGCGCAGCTATCCCAGAAGCCAGAACAGCAAGAGGGATTGCTGCTTTCACTGCGCAGCGATCCCTCTTGCTGTTCTGGCTTCTGAGGTTCAGAATATTTTTTTTTCTTGTTTTCCTCCTCCAAAAACTAGGTGCATCTTGTGGTCTGGTGCATCTTATAGAGCAAAAAATATGGTAATAAATGTTCATAAATGTACCAAGCAAACACTTACATAAATATATAAACCACATGTCTGAAGCAGCACAGGAAGACAGTCCTGAAACTATTTTGACTCCCAAGCTGACCAAATGTTTCTCTGCAAGGAGGGAGGAGGTGGAAAAAACCTTCCTTGTTACAGGAATTGGGTAATCACCATTTCAAAGGAATGGGCAGACTACCAGGAAAGGCAATCAGATAAGGCATTATCAGATAACCTGGCAGACAGGAAAAACAACAACATTCAAATTTCTGTTGTAGACCGCCTTTTCTGTGATGTAGGTATGATGTTTGTGGGGGGTGGTCTTGGGTTACACCCCTTCTGTGATATATGTATGATGTACGGAGGGGTGGTCTTGAGCTCCAGGGCAGGGAATTTAAAATGTCTATATAAGGGCAGGCACACTTTTGTTCTGGGTCCTCCTCCGCCCTCCTGCATGTGAGGGAAGCACCCTGTTGCAACAGCTTTAATAAAGATCAGGCTTACCAGCTGCTTTGCTTCTCAATATTCTCTGGTTGGCCTCTGTTATTTTCTCCTCCCAGTAGGGAACCTATGTAAGGCCTCTATGTGGGCTCTTGGATAGCCCCTAAGGGGAAAGGGGCAGCTTTTGTTTACAACTCAGGAATCCTGGAAACTGTAGTTGACCCCTCCCAGAGCTACAATTTCCAGCCCCCAGTACAGTTCCCACGATTCTTTGGTGGAAGCCATGTGCTTTAAAATCTCTCTGGGATAGCTCAGTCGGATAAGGATGAGACTCTTAATCTCGGGGACATGGGTTCAAGCCCCACTTTGGGCAAAAGATTCCTGCAGTGCAGGGGATTGGACTAGATGACTCGTGTGGTCCCTTCCAACTCTTCAATTCTATGTAAATGTATGGCAGAGATGTGACACAGAGCAGAATTTTTACCAAGCCGTTTTTAGAGAACACGCCACCCCCACCCAAAAGAGAGAGAGACAAGCTTGGCTGTGCCCTTCACAGGAAGTAAATGTCCATTCACTAACTTACTGGGCCTACTGGTTGCTGGAGCCCAAGGAAGGGAGCTCAGTCTTCAGATTCCAGGCTGTTGTCCTGCTTTTGCCTGCTACCTCCACTTTCTCCTTCTCCATCTCAGTTGTTGCAGGGAGCTACAGAGTCTCCCTTGTGCCCCGAGGGGGCATGTGCCTTAAGAGCTGTCCCCGCCCCCGTGGCATCCCTTGAGATGCTCAATATGCACGTGTGGAGCCACTCATAATTTGCCATGCAGGTTTAGCTGCTGTTTCAGGATTCTTAGCAGCAGCAGCAGCAGCAAAAAAGAAGAAGAAAAAGGGTGCATCCATTTACTGGTGCCTCCTTCCAGTGTTCTAGGCCAGGGAGATCATCTGCATATGAAGCATTACATCCCTGGGCTCCTAAAATGCAACTCCTGACTTCAAGTCAAGAGGCTGGTGCTGTTCACATACCTGGAGGTGCTTTTCTGGCTGTAGCATCCTTTACATTACCAGATAGGCCTGAACATGTCATGTTGAGAACAAGCAAATGGAAACAAACAAACAAACAAACAAACAAACAGGCTCATCTATACTTGTCCCAAGCCTAAAAAGCATGGGGCTGAATGGTTTTCCACTTGTCTTCTGCTTTTTAAGCATGCGCCTTAGTGGTTTTGCATTTGCCCTGCAACATTCCTATGGAAAACACATTTTTTACTGCTGATTTGGAACAAGCAGCAATCCGCAGAAAATCCAATTGCTGTTTGGTCCTCAGCGGTAACCTCTGGGTTTCCCCAGGGGGGAGTAATGGGGCAAGCAGAGGCGTGGACGAGCCCAGAGAGGCGGCTTCCAAAGGTTCAGGAACAATCGTTTACCGTATTTTTCACTCTATAGGACACACTTTTTCTCCTCCAAAAATGAAGGGGAAATGTGTGTGCGTCCTATGGAGCAAATGCAGGCTTTCACTGAAGCCTGGAGAGCGAGAGGGGTCGGTGCGCACCAACCCCTCTCGCGCTCCAGTCTTCAGGCAGCTATCCGCAAGCCTTCTGAGCGAGGCGGGAGTTCCCCCCCTAAAAACTAGGTGCGCCCTATGGTCTGGTGCGCCCTATGGAGCAAAAAATACGGTAAGTTCCATTGCATTTCCAGTTGTGGGACTCTTTGAGTTGTCATGATTCAAAATGGATCCGGCTTGTTTCTAGTGATTGTTTCTAGTGATTCTTATAAAAGTCTCTGCTTCCCTTCATTTTCAAGGGCAAGCAGTGTGTCTGTCAGGATCCTATTGCCCATGCAGTAATGTACTGAGTGAACATAGAAGTTAGGCTTGTGCCAGTCACAGCAGATGGGGCCTTAGAGACCGAGTGACATCTTAAAATGTCAAATTCTCTTTCTTTCCTCTCTGTCTAGTTTCCGTATGCTGCCCCACCGCCCCAGGAGCCAGTGAAGACACTGCGAAGCCTGATCAACGTCCGAAAGGACACATTGCGCCTAGTCAAGTAAGTCACTGTTGCTTCACAACAGGGGTTTGTAGCACTCTGATGTTAAACCATAATCTATTTTAAACTGGTTTAACTCAAGGAGCTGACCTTATAACTTCCCAATCCCAATTCCATTGGTTGTGGGGACAAACCATGAGCTCTGGTTTGCATGTAACGTGAAGCCAACCTCTGGTTTCTTTCCCTCCTGTCGTGTCCCAGGCAGAAGTGGGGAAGGAGCAACCTGGGATCTTTTGAGCAACGTGCATTAACACACTGCTCGTTGTTTTAAACTACGGTTTAACGTGATGTGTAAACCAGGCAGCTGCTGTCAACCTTGGTGAGCCCAAAGATTCTGCAAGGATTGGGTCTTTTTCAGCCTTGCTAGCAGAAATCATTTTGAGTGGATATGTGATGAAATTAATCTGGGATCTTCTGCATGGAGGGCATGTATGCTCTGCCTATGAGCAATGCCCCTTCCCTTCCCCACTTCATCAGATAACTGTGTAAAAGCATTTTCAGCCATAAATGATTTTTTTAAGGTGCCAAATATACCTTGGCCTTCCTAAATGAAAAATATCTCTGCAATGTTTTCAAATATATTCCTGGACCATGAGCACTTGTCTAATAGGATAGATGGGGTGTTATACACAGTGAGTGCTGTGTGCCTTTGCAGTTATTCATTCTGACAAAGGCTGCCCTCTGTTAGGTGCCTGAGAGCTGGTTTTCTTAATTTCCCGGGCACAAAATTACTGCGTTTAAGTGGCAGAATGCATGCATGGTGTGCCAGTTATGAATGCTGCATATGTGTGTAAATGAGCCGGTTTCCCTTCAACAGAAGAAACAGAGGCGTGGTCCTTTTCCCAGTTTCGGTTAGTGCTTTTAAATGCTCAGGTCTTTGCTGCTCATTAAACATGAAAGGCTCATCCTTCCCCCAGCCTCCCGCATACTTGGGCAAACTCAGCTGCTCAGAACACACATGCCATCCACAGATGAGAGTGTCATGTGTTGTTTTGCTCCTTTAAACCCCCCCCCCTTTTGAACTTGACTTCAAAAAGCAACGCTTGAATTTAGGTAAGTCTGTTTGCTCCGTTTTGATAATGGTCTGCTGGAAAGCAATCCCATCAGCTGCAGGGGAGATCCGTTTGTAGCTCCTCAAGATTAGTGGAGAGATTATCTGGCTGTTTTGGAGGAGGAGTTACACAGATGCCCTGTAAGACAACGAGACAGGCTGTTTGCGCCTTTATATCTCTATCTTCTCCACTTGGCTTTCAGGGTCACTGCAGGTGACAACAGGATTAGACGGAGTTGAATTCACTCCTGTTGCTGGGCTAAAATCAGAGCCAAATAAAATCCAGCAGTTTAGAGCTCAGGACCTGAGGGGTTGGTGTGTGTGTGTGTGTGTGTGTGTGTGTGTGTGTGTGTGTGTGTGGAGAGGGACTGACCTAGCAAAGACTGTGGGCAGTATAGCGGCAGTAATGAAACAGGCCTGGGTGAAGGGATGTTCTCTACCAGTTTAACATGCCGTGAATTTGGTTACTGAGATTGCCCTTTCCTTACTTGCATTCTGGATTCAATTTGCATTTGTGTTTTCAGCTATTTTCAGAGGGATGTTGCCAAGGCCTGGGAAGTCAGGCATGCAGAAAAGGCAGAGGAAAGTAAATACCCCAAATACGTAAACAAACAAGGATACATAATTTAGCACCACAGAATTGGTCTGCCATTTCTGGTAGATCTGGTAACCATGTAGACCTGGTTAGGCCTGATTTCTGAGAGACTAATACTCAAGAGCCACATCTGTACTATATATTTAAAGCACTTGTGATACCACTTTAACAGTCATAGTGAATCCTGGGAACTGTGGTTTGGGGGGAGGGGAATTGTCAGGTCAGCATCCTTAACAAACTACAGTTCCCATGTGTCTTTGAGGTGTGTATGTAGGAAGCCATAACTGTTAAAGTGGTATAAGAGTGCTTTAAATGTTTGGCACGGACGTGACCCCTCTGTCGTTTCTCAACATGGTAGTCCTGGCATCTTGATGATGCTGTACTTCTACCCACAGCTGAAACTCTCAGTTCTTTATCTGACTCCCACCCACCTTTTTAACTCATTGCACTGCTTGCTACAATCAATTTCACACACCCAGCAACTTCATTTCCAATAATATTGACTCACACCATAGTAATCCGTTTTAAACAAAATAATAATAATAAAACAGCAGGAAAACTGGGTTTCTCTTACCACACTTACTGACTCTGCAAACATAGCATGGGGCACCAAAGCCCCACAGAAACACAGGATTTCATTTCCAAAATAGTTACCTTCAGGGTCCAGCTCAGCCCCTTGCCCCAGAGGGGTGCGGCCAGAAGTATCAGCTTTGGGTAGAGGTTTGTTTCGACACACTTGATGTAGCAGGGATGAAATGGGTGTCTGGAAGGAAGAAGGGGATGGCATCACATTTTGTTGTCTTGCTGTGGCAGGCGGGTGCGGACGTCTGGCCAGGCTTAGCAAATGGGATGCTTCAGGGTTAACTAACTGAGGACCTGGAGTTTGTGTCAATGCTAGATGGGCTGCATGTATACAGTTGCTTCAAGGGGTTAAATGTTTTAAAGTTCTGCTGCAGGTGTGCTTGCTGCACAAGCCATTTACTTTATTAATGTTTACTTTAGCATAGTGGTAGCCAATGTAGCACCATACATTTGTCGTTGGACTCACCATCCTTGAATTCTGGCCATGCCTGCTGGGGCTGACGGGTGTCGTATTCCAACAACATCTGGAGGGCTACACCTGTTTTAGCAGAAGAGAGGTCAAATCACTTCTTGGGCATTTTGAGTTGGGTCCTTTCTGTTTGTTGCAAGGTCTAGTGCAGGCATAGGCAGACTCGGCCCTCCAGGTGTTTTGGGACTCCAGGTGATGATGGGACTGCAACTCCTATCATCCCTAGCTAACAGGACCAGTGGTCAGGGATGATGGGAGTTGTAGTCCCAAAACACCTGGAGGGCTGAGTTTGCCTATGCCTGGTCTAGAGCTAGACTAATTTCTTTGCCTGCGTCTTTATCTACCAGGTGTGCGGAGGAAGTGAAGACTCCAGGGGAAGAAGTCAGCAAAGCCAAAGTCCATTACAACGTGGAATTCACATTCGACACTGATGCCCGGGTGGCTATAACAATTTATTACCAGGCTACTGAAGAATTCCAAAATGGAGTAGTGAGGTAAATATACCGAAAGCTGGGTTGGGGAGTGTTTGCTTCCCACAGAATCAGACGGCTTAATAATAGTATTTCTTAAATTTTTCTTGCACACTCAGACAGGGTATCTTGAATTTTTTGCACCACCAGTGAATGGAGGGAGGAGGTGGACTGCACCTCCAGGCTCTGCCAATAGCATCCATATGTTCAGCGCAACATTTGAAAGGAGAGCCTATTCACGTGTGCATAGGAAAGCACATGGGCTTTCCGTACAGTTGGGAAGCCTGTACCATTTCTCCCAGCCCCACCTTGGTGTTAGATGTATGTTTAAACATAAGAATAGCCTGCTGGATCAGGCCAATGTCGTATCTAGTCCAGCATCCTGTGCTCACAGTGGCCGACCAGATGCCTGTGGAAAACTCTCAAGCAGGACCCAAGCACAAAAGTACTCTTCCCTTCCTTTGGTTTCTAGCAACTGGTATTCAGAAGCATGAACTCCTGGGAAACAGCTGCACATAGTGCAAAATGAATTAATCTGCCAATGGCTAGAATGCAGAGCAGTTTAAAAAAACACCTGCTTTGGAATTAATAGAACTCTGGGTATTTTGAGTGGCACCTTAAGACTAACACAGTTAATTATGGTGTACTCTTTTGTGGGCCAGGGTCTTACTTCATTGGATCCTTAGTTGATGATTTGTACATATATGGGTGGAAAGGGAGAGAAAATGTTACCAGTGAGGCCATAGGGAAACAAAATACAAGAAAATAAAGAAACTGGAATTGCTTTACAGCATAAACATGTAAAATAAGGGCAGTGACCATTCGCAAAGCAGTGCGAATGATAACACAAACATCCTGACATTGCTAAGTTTATTGAAACATCCATTCTGGGACAGAGCAAAACACTAGTATAAAATGCATGTAGTTTGCAGTTCTCTTGTATGCTACCGTAAAGCTAAGTTGGCAGAGTCCTCAAGGGACGAGGCTGCAAATCACTGTAGGTTCAGGCAGGGAGCCAACATGTGTAAATCATTCTGGAAGAGCCAGGGCAGGTGACCAGAGAAAAGGCCACACACATTGGGCCCAGAAGCAGAATAGATTAAAAGCACCTAAACAGCAACAAAAAGCCAAGTGGGTTGTTGTAAGGGCCTTGTGTTGAGCTTGCTATATGTGCAGGGGGAAGAAATCAACTAGACACAAGTTAAATGGATGGGCAGAAAAAATTACCTGCAAGGGTCTGTGTAGCAATTTGAGCTGTGGAGTCTTGGAATCAGTGTCAGCCTGTAGCAAGGGAGAATTCATCCTAGAACAGCATTTGACAGCATGCACAGAATCAAAAGTAATATGGCATCTGATAGCATCTCTGCGCATTTGCAGAAAAGGCAATGTTGCAGTGGCATACCGAAGCCAATCTGAGTTGAATTATGTAGATGCTATCAGGATGTAGATGAGTGACTCACCATGGATCAATGTCAGCGTGGGCTTCCACATGCTGAGGTTGTTCTGGAAATCGGCCTTGAGGATACCATTAGAGAATCTTGATTGGAGGCTTGATATTCTGGATAATAAGGAAGTGGCTGCCGGGGGGTATTAATATAATGCAGACCTGAAATCCCTTTGAACTAGTAAGAGCCTGTTAGAGATAAAGCTGGTTCGCTGCATGGAGGAAGATCTTTGTCTTGGAGTGCATTTGGGGGATGCTACATGTTGGGATTCAAGAATAATTAGCAGATGTTCTGTGGCTGTTCACTCTTTGTTGTCTTCCCTTTCCATGGTAGTTACATCCCCAAAGACAATAGTTTGCAATCGGAGACTGTCCACTACAAGCGAGGGGTGTGCCAGCAGTTCTGCCTCCCCTCCCACACTGTCGATCCCTCGGAATGGACTGAAGAGGAGGTAAGGCAAAGTGGGTTTGCAAATGTGGGAAGGGAGTTTAAGGGATATTTTCAGCACTGGAGGGGAGGCATAATAATTAAGGACTCCTTAGTAAGTTGTAAGGACCCATCCTAATAATACTAATGCGGCAGGATACTGCCCTATGGGAATTTACAAACAGAAAAGATGCAAGCAGACTATACTGTAGTATAGTCCATTCATCTCTTTTAAAAATGCAGTATTGATACAGAAGCACTTAGCAACTCTAGGTGTTACTAGGGGCCGATGCCCCTGCTCACTTCGCTCACCGCTGTATATATTCCTTTCTTCCTTCTTGTTCTTTGCAGCTGGCCTTTGATCTGGACCATGAAGTCTACCCCATGGTGGTTCTTGCAGTGGTAGATGAGGGAGACGGTAAGCAATGCTCTGAAGGTTTGGATTCATTTTGGCACTGAGTTAACATGGATGCTCAAATGATTTTTGCCTGGCAAGCTGTAACTGTACTTTTTGCAACCCAGCTTCTATTTAGATAACCACATCCCAGCTATCCATCAGATGCCCTGCTGAGTGACATTAGCAAACAAATACACTCTGAAAACTGCCTATAATGAGCTATTTGTACACATTTAATTGATCTGTTTGTAGGTTTTACCAACTTGAATTGTGTTCGTCAGTGGACACCTGCAATTGCAGAAAACCTGTACCAGGGGTGACAAACCTATCACCCTCCACGTATTGGCAAACTGCAGCTGGCATCATCCCTGGCCATTGGCCTTTCTGGCTGGAGGTGATGAGAGCTGAAGTGCAACTGTGTCTGTAACTCTGTGAGAAACCCAGCCAGATGGGCAGGATACAATTAATTAATTAATTAATTAATCAATTAATCAATTATGGAAGGCCATCCCTGACCTCTATCATCTATATACAGGCTTCCGCATGTGTGTGTCAATCACTCTCATTCTTGCCTGTTGCCTTGCAGAGCATATGGGCCACTGCCATGTACTCCTGGCAACGTTTGAGAAGGTGAGTGTGGTTTTCTCTTGACCTCTTGTCCAAGCTAGCTTTTATGCCCAGAAATCTGGCCTCCCAAATGTGGGTAAAGAGTTTGCTCTGAAAGCAAGTCCGTGGTCAAAGGGTTAGGAAGACTGCTGAGCCGCTTGGGTAAATTGGCAAGGGGCAAGCTCTGTAGACTTCTCCAGCCTCTGCTTCCCACCACATTCTCCAAGTTACATGACTTTGGATCATGAGGAATGGCTTGGAGAGCTGCCCAAGCTTCCAAGAAGCAGCCAGGATCTCTGAACAATGTTGGTAGAATCTTGGTAGAAGAAGAGAAGTTCTGGGCCCTCTTCTATATAACAGGATTTCATGGAATCGGAGGGGATCTGAGGATGGTGATCCTACTGAGCACCTGAGGTTGCAGGCTTTGCACACTGCTTGTTTGACTCTCTGCTACACAGTGATATTGGTAGCACTGTCTATTCGCCATACGCCCAAACACCAAAGAAGCGGGGCATTAATGTTCAGCAGGGATATAATCAGAAGACATGCCTGTGGAACCAACCCAAACTCGCTTATACCAAAACAAATCAAGCCCCCGCCCCCCCCCCCCAATTCCTTCAGTTAATTAAATTTAACACACACTCACCCCTTGTACGCAGGCTGAGTGAATGTAAAAAATATTTACGTGACTACACAGCGAAATAAATATAAAGGATTAGAGGCTGCTTTTGAACTGTAGCAATCTTTTGTGAGCGTTTGAATAGTAAAGAAGAGTGCTAGGAGAGTTGAAAGGGGAGTGATTCTTAGAAGATTCCTGGAGCACAAGGCACAACATGAATAGGATGCATTCCTTTTGCATTCTGCTACAAGGCGGACGCGTTCTTTTTTAAAGCGGATGCTCTTCAGTAGGCGAATTCTGTTTCATCGCAAATGTATTCTGTGAAGCCTCTTTTGACAGACTAAAGCCCTATCTGATCGTTTGTGTTTTTCTCCCAGCATGCCGACGGCAGCTTTTGTGTGAAGCCCCTCAAACAGAAGCAAGTGGTGAGTGTGTGGTTGGTGTTTGGTGGTGTCTGCCTGCTGCTTTAGTTCAGGTGTGTCCCTGGTTACCACTTTTCTGGGAAAGCTGCCTAGAATCACTGAAGACCCCTGAGACACAAGTATATTTGGGTGATAGCCAACATTAGTCAGACTCAGATTAGATCCATTTTAAGTCCATCCATTTCAGTGGGCTACCTCTAAGTTGGATATTGCCCAATTGGGAGGGGGAGCATATGAGTTGGGGTCAGATTTGTTTGGGATCTCCATCCCAGTCTAGTCTCAACCATCCGTGCCTATTGCAGAGAGCATTTAGATAAAAGGCATTGGGAAGCCATGGATAAGGGGAAATGAGAGAACGGTTTGATGTTAGAACCAATGGATGATCCCTCATTAGGACATGTCGTTTTAGGGATGAAACTTAATTTTTGCAAATTTCTTCCGTGAGGAGTCATAAAAATATGTGTTTGGAAGCCTACGTCTGATGAAGAAGCACACAAATCAGCTTTCAGGGGGGAAAATGAAGAATTCTAATTTTACCTTCCAAAAATGTCAAGCAATGCTAAATAATAATAATAATAATAATAATAATAATAATAATAATAAAATTAATATATAATAAAACCACAAGTATTTGGCAATCTTTTTTATTAAAAAAAATTCTATGCAATTTTACACATATTTTACTTACCAAACAAAACTAAATTATATGAATTTAACCAAAATATCTTTTGATTTCCCAAGTCATGTTACAACTTTTTAACACCCCTCCTTTTGGGAATTTGAAAGTTGAAAAATTCAACATGCCATAGCATTTAAGTATTGCAGAGAAGCATGGAGTTTACTTCCCCACAATATGGGCTAGTGATTGTGTGTTTAGGTGGGCTGAAGCAGACTGGTATCTTTGGATTAGAGAAGTTCTTGTTTCTCGCAGAAGCTGTCTGTAGTCCTCCCCCTCCTCCCGAAGGAGCCCTTTTTTTTTTTACTCTACTTACCTCCAATTACTTATGTGTTGATTCTCTCTCCCTGTCCATGTAGGTGGACGGAGTGAGCTACCTCCTTCAAGAGATCTATGGGATAGAAAACAAATATAATACACAGGATTCCAAGGTAAGTACTGAAGCAGAGGATGCAGGGCAAGTTCACATGATGTAAAAATACACATGAAACAGACTCAAGAAGGATTTGTTTTCCTACGAGAGAATTCGCCTTGGAAAGCTGCTACAGCAGAAATTTTAAAATTTAAAAGGGGAGGACCTCTTAACATTTAGTTACTGCTCAATTTTTACAGTTCTCTTCTCCCCCACCTCTAATACATCTGTGCAAACACAGCAAAACAGCATTCCCATTTATTCAAACTCATTAAGGAAATATTTGAACGTCACATTTCACCTACCTGTTTTGTATTTTGCTTTGCTTTCCTTTCAGGTGGCAGAAGATGAGGTGAGCGACAATAGTGCAGAATGTGTGGTCTGCCTCTCTGACGTCCGGGACACCTTGATCTTACCTTGCCGCCACCTTTGCCTCTGCAATACCTGCGCTGACACCTTGCGTTACCAAGCCAACAACTGCCCCATCTGCAGGCTGCGTAAGTCCGCGAGCTTCTTTACACCTTGATGTTTGTCCAAATTAGAGGTAGCCATATCCTGGAAAAATCCGTGGCTTATCCTATTTGATCCTCTGACTTTGGAAAGTTAACATTCATTTTTCATTGTTGACAAAATCCTGTTGGATTTTGCATGCAGTATCTTATTTTTAATTATTATCAATTTTTTGTCACCATGGGCAAATTATAGCATATGTTGTTATATTGCACCTGTCTCCTGAGGGAGCTTCCAAGCAGGGGCTTATTATTGCAAAGAGTCATTCAAATATCTCGTATGGGCTGCTGACAACAGGGGTTTCCAAATCAGATTTCACCCAGTAAGGGTAAATCTGGATTAAATTTATGGGATTGCGTTTTGGTGTTTGTGGAAGCCACACAAAATTGTGTGCATGAGGAGTTCCTGTCTGACAGTGAGCATCCTTAATATTTGTTGTTGGAAGCTGTTTTTATTCCTCCTACCCTTCATCTCTTGCCCTGCAGCATTTCGGGCTTTGCTACAGATCCGAGCCATGAGAAAAAAGCTGGGACCCCTTTCCCCAACCAACTTCAACCCTATCATCGCCTCCCAGACATCTGACTCAGAGGAGCACTCGGTTAGTATAGGTGTGCTGGTGGTCCCAGTGTTGACACTGCCCAGCTGTCTTTGCTGAGCAGGTCTTGCGGGCTGTGAAATACCGTATTTTTCACTCTATAAGACGCACCAGACCACAAGACGCACCTAGTTTTTGGAGGAGGAAAACAAGAAAAAATATATTCTGAATCTCAGAAGCCAGAACAGCAAGAGGGATCGCTGTGCGCAGCAATCCCTCTTGCTGTTCTGGCTTCTGGGATAGCTGTGCAGACTGCATTCGCTCCATAAGGCGCACACACATTTCCCCTTACTTTTTAGGAGGGAAAAAGTGAGTCTTATAGAGCAAAAAATACGGTAGTTTGCTGAAGAGGAGTCAGGCACAGAGAAGGCTTCTTTAAAAACCTTCCCTGTAGTATCATATCCACAGAGCCTGTTACGGGACTGCTGCACAGCCAGTGGCTTTGGGGGGCCAAGGAAAAGGTGACACTGATGACAAGGGCAACTAGCCTTCCTCAATGATTCAGGTAGCGTGGCAGGAAATTCCATGCAAAATCAAGCAAATCAGCCTTGAGCCAGAAGCCATGGGTTGAAGACAGAGGAGCTAGGGATCTGGAAGCTTACTTGGCAAATGAGGCCCTTGTGCCTTACAGCAATTTACTCTGCCCCAGCAGCACCCACATAGAGTGAGTTGTTCACCTCCTGCCAGTCTGCATGTCCAGAATTTAGTGCAGATCTGGTATCTATCTAGGGGAGAGCTGGGATTCATTCTAGGTCCACATGCAGAGTAGATTTAAGGTTTCTAGACAATAGTTCTTCAGACTGCAAGTGGAAGGTAATAATATCAATTTCTCCTCCTTTTTCGCTGGTTTCTTTTTTAAACAGCTTTGCATTTAGAAAACTAGATACTGGGGAGAAGAGCAAAATTCTAGTCTTCTCCCCTCAATACTTTCGTTTTGAGTGCATGTGGACTTCCACCAGCACCCAATGGATAAATAATTTTAACAACGTGACTTTTTCCACACGGTGGGCAGTCTGAAGAGATCTGAGCCCAGAACTAATTTACCACCACATCTGCAACATCAGGGAACTAGGCTTGAAATGTCAAGCTCAGAACAGAAAAGTGTGCACCATATCCTCTTGACTATGGAAGTTTGTTAGAATAGTAGCAGGTTGTGTGTTGGATGATTCCTGTGTGTTAGTTCCCCCCTCCTTTCCTCTCTCTCTCTGACTTCTGTGCCCTGCACGGCTCCAGCACCCAAGGGTGTTCCTCTGCCCATTTTACAGTCACATAGTCACAACTTCTTCCAGCTAAAAGTTTTCAGGCTAAGAAATCCAAGCGATCTGGTCCAGAATAAAGCATGAAAATATCAGCAACTTTATGTGAAATAAGCAAGTCTCCCATTGGTGATCTCAGTCTGTCTGTCTGTCTCTCTTGCTCCTTTTATGTATGAGTCAGATTCCTTTGGAGGAGGGTGGATCTTACTCCTCTGTGCTGAGCTCTCTTGTAAAAAGCTATGTTTGATACAGAGGGAGAGTGTTCTTCTCACACCCATCTCCCCCGTTCCTCTAGTCTTCAGAGAACATCCCTCCGGGCTATGAGGTGGTCTCTCTTCTGGAAGCCCTTAATGGGCCTCTCACTCCATCCCCAGCAGCTCTTCCGCTCCACGTACTTGGGGACAGCCACGTGTCGGGCATGCTGCCCTCATATGGCAGTGATGGCCACCTGCCTCCCGTCCGGACCCTGTCTCCCCTTGACCGCTTGTCGGATTGCGGCAGCCAAGGACTCAAGTTGAAGAAGAGCCTGTCCAAGTAAGTAGCTTGCTGATGTCTCCTGCACTGCAGTGGCTGTTGCCCAAACTGCAATGGCTAAGCTACAATCGCTGGCACCTGTCTGCTGTCTCTTGATGTAGCTGCTGCCTTCCAGTTGTATCTAGCTGCTTGTGGGCGTGTCTTCTGTTGTCAGCTTGTAGCTCTTTAGAACTCTCCCTTGGTTTCTAGTAGAAAGAAGTGGTTTGTTTTCCACCAGGTCAATATCCCAGAATTCCTCAGTACTACATGAAGAAGAGGATGAGAAGACCGGCAGTGAATCTGAAATCAGGATTTCCAGGAGGAAGTCTCCTCGTCCTCATGAAGAGGTGATTGTTTGTTTGAAAGGTCTTGGATTTATATTAAAAAAACCACCTCTACTTCCTGGGAACAGGAGGGTTAAAGAGTTTTCCTGCCAGAGATCCCAGGAGTTAAACCCGATGTCTTTGTTGCTCATGCTAAGGAAGCGTGCTGGCAGAGCTCTCCTGAACCTGGTTTAGGAAAGAATTTCAGAGGCTTGGAAAAGCCCACCTCAAAGAGGAAGTGAGCTTTGCTAACTCAGGAATTCTTCTCTGGCTCAGATTGAAATCCAAAGCCAGGGAAGAATCACTGGCTTCCCTTGTTGCTAAAGGCTTTGCCAGGCCAGGAGAGATGGAGCAAAGCCTTTCTTGACCAGAGATTGTTGGAGCACTGCCAAGGAACTAGATCACTTCCTGTTTTAAGGGGCTAATTTTTTTGGAACTTTGATTGCCTTGGTAAAATGATCTGAGAGCTTTCTCATTTGTTTTCAGAAGACCTCAACTCTTATGTCCATTAATCTGAAGCAGGTTTGGGGGAGTTTGCCTATCTGTAATGGCAAGGCTAAGCACACAATTTATGGCAGTAGTTCCATCACTGGAAATTATGTTTCCCTCTTAACATCTGATGCATTTTTTTCAGGAATGTGGTGTGACGCCAGAAAGTGAAAACCTTACCTTATCCTCCTCAGGAGCAATAGACCAGTCTTCATGTACAGGGACACCTCTCTCTTCTACCATCTCTTCTCCAGAAGGTATAGAAGGAAAGCTGACTTGCTTTGATTCTGGGGGCACATCTTCAAAAGACCCCTCAGCAAGCATATTAGTGCTTTTCCTCAATCCCACACTTCTTCCCCTATACCACCTTTTTGTACGGCTTGGCAGAGGACATAGGCTGAACACCAGTGCACAGGGATAGACCACAAGATGCACAATCTTGGCTTTAAAATAATAAAAAAAAAGGTTTTGCAGATGTTCTACCTTTTGGCCTCCTTGCTTTTATGGATATCGTGTTGATTAACTAATGGGTTGATTAACCCATGCTGCTGCTATACAGTTGGAAAGCAGGCAGATCAGTGAGTAGCTTTATCGTAGGATTTGCCAGAAAAATGCAACCTGTTCTGTTGATAGAAGTAGTACGACTCATGCAACACGTTGGCGACTAATATACACACAGTAATTACCAAAATGATTATACATTCTTTATCAATCTTCTGAGAAAAATACAAAACCTTATTCAAAGCCACAGATACATTATAACAGAAATCAAACATTATAAGGTTGGGTAGTCCGCAAGTCTCTGTGGCTTTGCATAAGGTTCTGCATTTTTCTCAGAAGATTGATAAAGAATGTATAATCATTTTGGTAATGATTGTGTGTATATTAGTCATTGTCGTAGGATTTGAGCTAGAAGAGACAGCTCATGAAAGACACGTGATCAGGAGCCGGATGCAGTAAGGAAAACGTGTGATGTACCGATTGAGTTAAGAGCCCAGCAGAGTGGACCTTTCCCTTGCACAGGACTGAGGCTCTGGTTGGATCTTGGAAGCTCTTAAAAAGCTTGTTTTTTTAAAAAAATTTTTGCTAAACTTGTATCTCAGCTAGTTTATTGTGTGTCCCTTTATAACCAGCCTCCCTGGCAATGTCTTGCCTGCGCCCTCCTCTCTTTCCTTAGATCCTGTTAGCAGCAGCCTGGCCCAGTCGGTCATGTCCATGGCTTCCTCTCAAAGCCAGCACTCTGAGATCAGCACTGACACCATGTCTTCCATGTCAGGCTCCTACGTAGCTCCTGGCACTGAGGAAGAGGGGGACATGATCCCATCGCCTGCTGTTGCCAGTGGGGTACCTTCAGAAGGAGACGTAAGTATGGCAAGCCTATTCAGATGACCAAGCAGCAGAAACTGCGATGCGGGCTAGTTCATTTCTCTGATGACAGCCACCCTTATTAAGGCAGGGGTGGGAAACCTGTGGCCTTCCGGATGTGGTGGAACTTCAACGCTCATCACTCCCAGCCAGGAAGGAAAGTAGCCAGAGATGTTGGGGGTCGTGGTCCAACAATAACTGGAGAGTTACATGTTCCTCATCCCTACTCTTAAGGGATGTGTTCACCATTGGGACAGGCAAAGCACTTCATATAATGCAAGACCTTTTTAAATTGTCAAACCGAGAGAGATATTCAACTGTTTTAATCAGAGTAGACCCATTGAAATTAATGGACATGGTTAAGTCATGTTTATTAATTATTATTTCTTCTGCTGCTTCTTGAATTTATATACCGCCCTATACCCAGGGGGTTTCAGGGCAGTTCACAGAATAAAATAAAAGTTCTACTCAGGGTAAAACTTAGTTGAATACAACCTTGTTGGTTTTTTTTTAAAGTTATTCAAGCCATTTCAGCTATTGGGTGGAACCCAGTGATTATATGGCACACCTAACATCCAAGATGGCAGCAAACACACAGCATTGTAGGTTGTGGCTAAGCAGCCATTGCCTGGGTGTGGCAGAAATGGACCAATATGGCGGCCAGGTGCAGTGCTCTTTTTCTGGGGGGATGCAGACCCCTAAACATTTTGTGAATCTTCGTACTTTTGTCCATTTACAGTGGTGCCTCGCAAGACGGAAAACCCGCTAGACGAAAGGGTTTTCCGTTTTGGAGGCGCTTCGCAAAACGAATTTCCCTATGGGCTTCCTTCGCAAGACGAAAGCCCATAGGGAAATCTCCGGGACAGCGGGGAAGCACAGCGCGTCTTCCCCACTGTCCTCGGACCTCCTCCGAAGGCTGGCGGCGGGCGGAGAGACCTCCTCCCGCCGCCAGCCTTCGTTTCTCCGCTATCCCAGACGGCTTTTGAAGGCGGGGGGGAGCAAAGACTTTCGCCCCCCACCGGCCTTCAGAAGAGGTCCTGGACCTCTTCTGAAGGCCGGCGGGGGGCAAAAGTCTTTGCTCCCCCCTGCCTGCCTTCCCGGGAGAGCGGAGAAACGCAGCGCCTTTCTCCGCTGTCCCGGAGGGCTTTTGAAGGCAGGCAGGGGGGAGCATAGACTTTCGCCCCCCGCCCGCCTTCAGAAGAGGTCCTGGACCTCTTCTGAAGGCCGGCGGGGGGCGAAAGTCTTTGCTCCCCCCTGCCTGCCTTCCCGGGAGAGCGGAGAAACGCAGCGTGTTTTCTCCGCTGTCCCGGAGGGCTTTTGAAGGCAGGCGGGGGGGAGCAAAGACTTTCGCCCCCGCCCGCCTTCAGAAGAGGTCCTGGACCTCTTCTGAAGGCCGGCGGGGGGCAAAAGTCTTTGTCCCCCCTGCCTGCCTTCCCGGGGGCTTTTAAATCGCCCTGGGACAGCGGAGAAGTCCCCCGCTGTCCCGGGGCTTTTAAAAATGCTGGCAGGCGGCAGCGGAGGCTTCGCTCCCGCCCGCCAGCATTTTAAGATCGCCCCGGACAGCGGAGAAGTCCCCCGCTGTCCCGGGGTCTTTTAAAATGCTGGGGGTGGGAAGAAAAGCCCTTAGTCCCCCCCCCCAGCCTTCAGAAGAGGTCGGGGGACAGACTGTCCCCGGACCTGGTCTGAAGTCGGTTTCCATAGGAACGCATTAATTGATTTTCAATGCATTCCTATGGGAAACCGTGCTTCGCAAGACGGAAAAATCGCAAGACGACAAAACTTGCGGAACGAATTAATTTCGTCTTGCGAGGCACCACTGTACTGTATTTATTTTTCCCGATTTGTACTATAAAATGGTGATTTTATTGAGTCAAAATGAGAGTACCCCTAAACATATTTTTTAAGGGAAAAAAGCACTGGCCAGGTGTACCTTGTTGCAAAAATTCATTTGAGAAGAGGTGGGAAGCCAGCGAGACATTAAAAAATTCAGAACGTGTGTTGGGGTTGATACCACCGATGCAATTTGCCAGTGATGGTAACTTGGCTCTACAGGAAATGCACCAGTAAGTCCAAGTCCTGCCCTTTTCCCTTTCTCTTCCCTTAGTCAACCCCTGTTGAATCTCCAGATGAAAATTTTGTCAGTATGTCAGCAGAGGAACGAGATGCAGAGGTAAAGTTCCACATTTAAAGCCTATTTAACACAGGGGGGTTGAAGGGGAAGGATGATTGGATGTAAAAGCCAGTGGCTGAAGCTTTCTTGTGAAAATGTTTTGCTTTGGCAACCTGAAAGCCTAGGCATCAATTAGGGAGAGAAAGGCAGATGGGAGCCAATGAGTAAAGTGAAATGCTGTAAATTGTGTAGTTGTGTAGATGGATAATGCTGTAAATTGTGTAGTTGATAAAGGGGAAGCTGAGAGCTGCTCAATGATGAAGTTTGTAGCTCAGCACAAAGTGACATACAACTTTTTTGGCAAAGGGTGTTTAAGGAGATAACAGAAATCACTGGGTTAAAGCTGACCGAAAGTCCAGAGGTAGCATTATTATCAATTTACAATGGGGTGGAAGTTTCACAGGATATGAAGGACTTGCTCACAAATTTATTGACAGCTGAACAAGTTATTATAGCTAGGAAGTGGAAGGGGCAAGGTGAATATAAAATGAGGGAATGGTATAAAGAGGTGTGGGATGTAGCTATTAATGATAAATTAACATGTGCTATTATGGTGGTGCTGTGGGTTAAACCACAGAGTCTAGGACTTGCCGATCATAAGGTTGGCGGTTCGAATCCCCGCGACAGGGTGAGCGCCTGTTGCTCAGTCTCTGCTCCTGCCAACCTAGCAGTTCGAAAGCATGTCAAAGTGCAAGTAGATAAATAGGTACCGCTCCGGCGGGAAGGTAAACGGCGTTTCCGTGTGCTGCTCTGGTTCGCCAGAAGCGGCTTAGTCATGCTGGCCACATGACCCGGAAGCTGTACGCCGGCTCCCTCGGCCAATAAAGCGAGATGAGCGCCGCAACCCCAGAGTCGGTCACGACTGGACCTAATGGTCAGGGGTCTCTTTACCTTTACTAACATGTGCTATTAAGGTAAGACGGGGAATGTGCAGGAGAAATAATTTTGAGGAGATATGGAAGGTATTTGTAGAATTTGTAGTGTTTAAATGGAAAGGGGTCAAACCATCACAAGAGGTGTTGAAATTTTTGAAGGTTGGATAGTTACAATGGAATGGTCTTGGGCGTGGGGTGTACGTTTTAATTCTTATTTATTTATTACTACTACGTCAAAATAATAAAAAAAAATTATAAAAAAAGGGAGGGGGAGGAAATACTCTGGATCGGTGCCAGGTTCTTCTGGCTAATCTGAGTCTTCTTGGATTGCTGTTAGCTAAAGATATTCTCCATGTTGCTATTCCCTGCTGCCCAGCCAGAGGCTCCCTGTGAAACCTAGTGTGCCCATATGACTGGGACTCCAGTTCTAGGAACAAGCACACTAAACTTCATATCCATGGCTTTCCAATCGGTCAAAGCACCACCGCACTAGGTTTCACAAGGAGCCTCTGACTGAGTTCATTTGATCAAGCCAATTTCAGGTTTCTTCTGTGGAGAAGATATATAGGAGAATGCTTCTCTTGACACCCTTTTAAGGAGGGAACCAATCTCTGATAACTGGGCTTTTGTGTCATCCTCTGTGTATTGCAAGTCCTTCACTTTTAACATTTGCACCTTGTCATCTTTTGTGGCAGGGGAATGACGTCATGGAGGAAGAGGCTGGCTCCCCCACACAAGAAGATGGTAACAGAGAACAGACCATTACTCCTTTCCCCATATTTTTTGGCTATGTTCCATCACATCCAGCTGGCAGTGTTCACAGTGGCGGATAAGGAAAAGCAAGGCTGAGCGGGGGTGGGACTTCTGGACAAGCTCAGCCTTGTTTATCTTGTAGTAGCAGATGGATGGTCTAAAGAGTTTGGAGGTGTTGGGAGGGGGAGTTGTAATATAAAGCTACTTGATGGCTTTCCCTGTATATTGTGGGTTTATGTGTTTCTGATGCCAAAATATGAGGTCTAGTTTTTGCAAAGTAGTGTAAAACAGCTTTCAGAAGTTTCAGTAATGCCGCTCACAAGTGAAATTATAAAAATGTTGCAAGGTAGAGACATAAATGAAAAGTCTTCAATTTCAAAATTGAAGGGTCCCTTACTAAAGCAATAGCATTTCCAAACACTTCTCTGGAAAACGGAGCGGGGAGGGAAGGATGAAGCAGAGAGCAATCTTCAGATAGCTGGAGCATCTTTGGCAATGCCCATAGCAGTGGATGTTCTGGTGCAAAATTGCAAAACTGAGGGGGGAAATCTTCACTGTTGCAGATAATGAGCTATTAGGTTCAGTCTTTAGCTACTTAGAGGGCTATAGACACCAGAACTTTGCAGCAGCAAAGCATAGGTCAATGCAAATCATCACGCTTTGGAAGCTAGGTCATGGGCCGCAGACATAAGGACCCTGATGGAAAACTGCTCCCCCAAAAGTAAGGGATCTGTGACACTCCCATAACCCCAGATGACGACACACCTCTTTGGTACATTTGGAAGATGCTGAGACAAGCTCTCACTGTGGTGGGAAGAGAAGCCAGGTAAAATGGGCTTCCTCTCCTTATTTGGTGTGTTTGGCTGATTAAAAATCAACCCGCTTTGTAGAACTTCATAATAAACATTATTAAGAGTTTCCATACACAACCCTCCCCCCCCCCAAGTAAAATAGCTTTTAGTTGACTCGTGGACTTTCCTTGTGAACTCTGAGCATCTCATTTTCAAAAGGCAAGTTTCAGGTGCTCATGGTCAGCAGCAAGGAGACGAGCTCGAAAATACCGCAACCGCATGCTTAATAATTGGAAGGTTAAAGCAAAACTTAAACCCACATGCGTGTTATGATTCTGGAAGTTGACATCCACAAAGCATATGCATAGTGAATATGCAATTTCAATGGAACATGCCAGTTAGCCTCAGGTTTCTGCCTCCTGGTATGCTTGCAGAATGTTTTTGCTAACATTTGAGGGTTAACTTAAAAGCTGCAGCAGGAGTTGGGCCAAGTTTACCCATAACTGGAGCAAATTGTAACTCAGTTAAACTCTGTGGCATGCCACTGGTTCTGGTTGATGGGGGAGGGTGACAGATCGTGTGATCTTTTTCTCTTCCGTGCACGACACTTCTCACACCCTCAGTAAGCACCAACAAGGCAGAGAACCCATTCTTAAATAGCAGTATAATGGCAGTGTTCACCAAAACCTGGTGGCTTTTCTGTGGGTCAGCAGGTGCCATTCCCTTTTCCCCCTCCAATGGCTGGGGCTTCTGCTTTAGTGCCAGCTGTGCTTCTGGGATTCCAGTGGGGTTGCATGCTTGCCTCGTACAGCAGTCGTGCAGCACAATACTTCAACACATGCCCAGCAGCCCACTCCATAAACCAGCCATGCTGGAGTACTTGGCTGTGCATCAGTTTTGCTTCTTAGCATGTCAACCAAAGCGGCTTTGAGGGATTCTGTCACCATAAAGACTTACTTTATTTTGAAGCTTGAAATAGCAGGAGGCCTTCTAAATAGCACTCTTATTTAGACGTCCAGGAATGCTCTTCTGGTGTTCTTAGGACTTGCGAGTTTTTGCACACTTGCGCGTCCAACCAGCAGGGAGTCCAGAGTAGGATGGATAGTCTGTGTGGTTGATTAAGTAAAGAACAACCCACATTATTGTGTGGAATACTTTTCTTTCAGGGCTTCAGAGAGTTGTCACAGAAAGATTTTTTTAAACATAGTCTTCTGCTCCAGCCCCCAAAACCACTTGTCCAGAAAACAATTGAAAAAGTTTCCTCTTGCAAGGTCTTTCGCTTTTTTAAAAAACCAAATGGCAAAATTTCTATTAACTTTTCCGGAATTAATATATGGAAGTTCTGTAAATTTCTTCCTTTACCACATAGATATTTCTGTCTCTTTAAAAACAAAACAAAAAACGAAATAGTACCCACACAGTCTAAATTTAATCTGGACTATTGCAAGGAAAAATAATGAATAAGCCTAAGGGCTTTTGTAGGGTAGGGAGAGGGGTATAGCCAGATATTGTTAAAACAGATGTCATTGTTGGTTAGGTGGGGCATTTTCAGAAGTAATGTATCACTCAATGTCCTGAGAGCTTCAGGTAAAAGAAGATGCCCCCATTTAAACAGACATTTGACTCAGTTTAGCCTTCTCATTCAACTGTTAAAAATGAAAACTCACCGCAGTAATTATGATATGTGTGAGCACCTCTTAGAATATTACTGGAGAAACCTGAAAAAGGTAGCCTAAGGCAATCACAGTTTTTGCTTTCCAACATTAAGCTGTGTCAAAGCAAACAGATCTGTGCTACAGACCTTTCTGTATCTGTTTTATACCAGTGCAAGGCATCATTCAAGGAATCCTGGGAACCGTCGTTCTTGTGAAGGGGCTAAGAATTCTGTTAGAAATCCCTAGCACCCACTCAACAGAACAGGAAACGGGAACTCGTTGAGCTCCAGGTGACATTGTTGAACTCCAACTCCCATCAGCCCCAGCCAGCATGGCCAGTGGTCTGGAACTATGGGAGATGGAGTCCAGGAACATCGGGAGGCCATCAATTTCCCCACCCCTGTCACAAAGAACTACCATTCCCAGAGCTACCCAAAGAGAAGGATATGTCCAATGGTGCTTATTTGCGATACAAAATTAATAGTGCTTAATTTTTGCAACCAACTGAGGTTCCTGTTGTGTTGCGTTTGCTGGAGAGGTAACAAGTTGGGGGAACGTTTTGGTTTTTGAAGCATTCATATAGCTTCCTCCACAAGGCTTCAGACACCAGCCAGAGACCTGCAAAAGCATGAGCTGGTGATCTTCCTTTCTGTGCCTGTTTATGTATTGCCTTTGCAGAAAAGGTTAAATATCCTCCTATGCCTGTACCCTTTTTCACTGGCAATATATTTTTTTTCTTGGAAACCAGGATAGAAATGGAAGTGGTTGAGGAAACCTGCCAAGATGGCTTAATGCAGATGCAACCCAGTCGAATGCCTTTTTGTTCACTCTCTATGCCCCCATGGGCTGCCGTTGAGGTTTTCTTCCCCGACTCCTGATACGAACTGTTTGTGCCTTCCGATATTTTAAGGAGAAAGAATACGTATGTCAAAGCGCAGCCCCATCCCCTCTCTAACTACATTAACTCCCTTACAGGCCAAAGGACAGGCGCATACCTAGGTATGGAGTGTGACAATAACAATGACATTGGCAACGCAAGCGTGAAAGCACTGGACAATAAGCTGTGCTCTGAGGCCTGCTTACCTGGTGAGTGGCAGTCTGCTGAACATGAACTTTTGTGGGTGTGTGTAGGTGGGAGGGGAGCCTCTTACATACCCCCCACCCCACCCTGTCACCAGCAGCCAGAACGTAACACTTGCATGTACATATAGCTATACTTCACGTTGAAACAGGCAAAAATAAAGGTGCTCAGCTATGGCATCTTCCAGATATTTTAAACCATGCCCACTTACCTCCCCTGACCAGCCCTGCATTGCACCACAATATAGAGATCTTTTTTAGGTTTCCTAACTTAAGGCAAGTTTTTAATATGGCTTTCTCCACTGACCCCTGGGAACCAAAACTCCCTGAGGGTGTGGAAACATCTTTGTCGGAGTGCCTAGCCCATAAGACACGGGAGCCACATTTAATTCCATGTGTAGCGTGGTGCCCACTCTTATTTCTTACTGAATATTTCCATCCCCTTCTTTCTCCTTCTGTGTCCTACTCTCTCCGCCTCCACATTTTCCCCTCATCTTTAAAACTTTTTGAAGCCAAGGGGGGAAAGGAAATGTCAGCACTGCTGGTGCAGCCCACTTTTGGTCGGGTTGTAACCCACCTGGGTGTCCTCATCCACCTGTTGAGGACCAGTGCCCAAGATCCTTCAGCCATGGCAGTGAAAGCCATTTTAGGTGTACAGTTTAGATATGTTCACATACACCTGGCATAAGAAATAGGGTTAGGTTTTAAAGTTGAGCCCAAGACTCAGCGTGCAGAGTTCTTCTTGACAAGATTCATAGTGGCAGGATAAATTGTCAGCTCCTAGATAGGCTTATAGAAGTCAAAGCATTGGTTAGATCTGTTGGGTACAGAAGGAACCACACTTGTTCCATGATATCTAATTTAGTGACTCCATGGAAAAGATGCTCTATTGAGGGACTTCTTCCTGCACTAAAATAAGATCCAGCCATCGCCCCCAATCTCATTCTATTTCTAACCAATATGTAAAAGTCCTTCAGATTTAATTATTTTCTTTACACATAGCTAGCCTGGTTAGTAACATAACGAAAAAGCATGTTAGAGACATGCTTAATAATTCCTTGGCTTAGCCCTGGTATCACATTCCCCCCCTTACTTTTTGTTACTAACCCCGGGTATGCCTTGTGTGTCTCTTTGCTGTTTCATTGATCTTTTTGCCCCACTGGGTTTCATCAGTGTGAAAGTTCATGTTCACTCTACGCCAGCAAATTTCTTGTTTTTCTTTTCTTAGCCCATGCTTCCACCCTTTCCATTTCTCCGGGTTGCTGAAATGGCTGTAAATTTTACTGACTGACCTTTAGGGGTCTGGACAAAACTGAATAGGGGGGAATAGAATCATGCATTATAGTTGAGCAAATTGGCCTTGCCTGGTCCAGGATTAATGAAAATTAAAGATTTGTTGGTTTTTATTTCCAATGATTGGAAACCATGGGCACAATTCTGTGCCGGTTCATTGAAATATAAGGGTCTTGTGCACCTCTGCCCTTGAGGGATTGCATTCATGTGTCCCACCCAGAGAGGACTTGGAACACTTACCTAGTGTGTGTTTTAATTTCTGTTTATTTTAATAGGATTTAAGTGTTCCTAACCTCTTCTGGCTTATGCCCCAAATCTTTAAAATGCAGGTGCATCAGACCCGTCCTCCCATGTCAGTAAATTTGTTGTCATTTGTAACACCATAGCAACCCATCTCTTGCTTATTTTGCCTTTCGCTAAAGCTTTCAAGGCTGTAAACTTGAGATACCTGAAAGAATCTTTCTTGGTTGGTCTAATTCACTGCTTCGGAGAGGGAGAGCTTTCTCACATAGCTGCTAGCAAGCTAGCTCTCTTCCTCTGTTGTGCTGTCCCTCTGTGTAATTTATTTCACTTGGGAAATTCTGCAGTTAATCCAAGCTTTGCTCTGCAAAAGCATATGTGCCCGCAGATAAGAGACCCTCTAACAATAGTGGCAAATGCCATCTTTCTTCTGGGGCAGGAATTGTTTGAACACAGCCACATGCAAGGTCATTTATAGTTCCGAGGTTAAAATATTGCACCATATTATGTCCTTGCAGTGTTGGTACCTTCAAGTGATCATGGCTCTGTGTATAAGCCCAGACCCGAGCAAAATCTTAACCAAATGCCTTGCTAAGTACAATTTAGTGCGTATCCATAACCCTTCAAATTGTGATCTTTTAAACTTAGAAATCCTGCTTCAGTCAAGCAAGCTATTGGAGGGCAGTAAAAGAAATCACTGGAACATTTTTTTCCAGGGGTCTTAAAATGGCTATTGGGCAGTGAGGAACCAGAGAACAGAGGCTGACACATGCAACCCATCTTATTCAGTAAAGTCACCAGTATGGATATAATTAATGTCCTTTAATTTCTTGAAAACTGCATACCTGGTGTAGTGGATAAGTGTTCCAAATATAGCATCAGGTATCAGAACAGTGGTTGCAGTTCTATCAGAAGAACAAGAAGTGGGGAGGAGGAATGACATGTTGCACAACATATTTCACAGCTGAGCTATTTAAAGCTGCCTAGACCCTGTGAAATAGCAGGCTTGTCAATGAGTTTTTGAATAAGGAAAGAAAAAAATAGTAGCTTAATATACTGTGCAATATGGTGCAAATTGGTAAAAAAAGGCTTTGTAATGCATCTCTGTGCTTTTAAAGTGAACAACAGTGTGCATTAATGACAGCACGTGAACTATCATGCAAAATATTACTTTTAGCAAATCCTCCCTCTTCCCGCCCTCCAAAAAGTCCATCATTGCAGATAAATCTTCATAACATTTGATGTCAGGTTTTTTTGTTTGTTTTACTTTTAGGAAAGCAAAACTTTCTCATATTTAAAGGCCTATACTATGGCAGTTAGGGGACGCGGGTGGCGCTGTGGGTTAAACCACAGAGCCTAGGACCTGTCGATCGAAAGGTCGGCGGTTCGAATCCCCGCAGCGGGGTGAGCTCCCATCGTTCGGTCCTAGCTCCTGCCTACCTAGCAGTTCGAAAGCACCCCTAAGTGCAAGTAGATAAATAGGGACCGCTTTCTAGCGGGAAGGTAAACGGCGTTTCTGTGTGCGGCGCTGGTGCTGGCTCGCCAGATGCAGCTTAGTCATGCTGGCCACGTGACCCGGAAGTGTCTTCGGACAGCGCCGGCTCCCGGCCTCTTGAGCGAGATGAGCGCGCAACCCTAGAGTCGGTCACAACTGGCCCTGATGGGCAGGGGTACCTTTACCTTTTACCTTTTTACTATGGCAGTAGTTAATGAGTTAGCTACCGACCAACTTAATGTAGCAGTGTCTCTTATTATTCCTGTCTCTTATTTCATCATATAACTGCAGCAGTGGGAGAGCATTATGAGATATTTCTCTAAATGTGTTGTAGTGGAACTTACTCCCTAGCATACTCGGTTGTAGAAAAGCTTCCAAACCCAGAACCTTGGCTAAATTCAAGAATTGCTTTAGATGAAAGATCACATCTTTATCACATCCCAGCTGTTATCTTCATAGACATAGGAAGTATTCCCTAGTGTTGCCTGCAGTGCTTCTTGAACTGTTGGAGTGGAAGCTGGGCATCAGGAGACCTGTGGAATAAATTACTATACAGTCACCAGAGGTGTCATCGCCTCCTCTGGCTTGGATTCCCTTTGCTGCTTGCAGGAATCTTTTGCAGATCCCCCACCCTTCACTCTATGCAACAGACGAAGCCAAGTCCTCTTTCTTTCCTAGCTGCAGCGTGTTACTGTGCAAATCCATGCTTTGCTTTGCAGCCAGTCAGGAAGCAGCATGTACCTGCTTCCATGGTGCACAAGCTATATATGTAAAGCAGAATGGGGAATGAGACTTCTTGAGTTGCCTATTCGCAGATGCTGTGCCCTTGAGCTTTTTGGTATATGGCTGGAGTAATGCTGTGCCTGGCTGATCTAATGGCAGGGGTGCATTTCTGAAGTTGTCCTCTTGTTTCCCTCACACTCCATTTCCTTCACCCCAAAGTTTGAACTCCTAAAAACAAAACAAAAAAGCACTTCTAGGTACTCCACTTCAGTTTATCTGAGGAGGGCAATCCCGCCCCAGCTGAGTCTCTTTGTTTTAAGGATTTTTAGTCTCTGGGTTCTCTCCCCCTTTTTAAAGAGTGAATAGGTACAAAGGTAAGTACGGGAGATGGAAAAGCAAAGTATTAATTTTGAATCTGCGATAGTTGGCTTAGGGCTTGTCCGCACTGGGTTTTAATGTGGGTTTGCAGCTGTTTGTGTTCCCAATTGATTTGCATATAGTGCACATGACATTGCCCTCACACAACACCAGTCTTGATGCTTTTCCCTTATAAATTTTGGCTTATTCGATACGGGGATAAATCCAGTAAGTTGGGGAAAATCAGGTTCCAAGCCACTCAATTTGGGGTCATGGACAATTGGTTTCTGTGTTGTCACTTTCTGCTACTCTCCTTCCTATGTACACTACTTCCTTAGTGCTTTCATTTCTCTTCTGGCCTTGCTTGTAACCATTTCTGGAGATATTTTTGTTAATTTTTTCAGATTTGCACAAAACCTACACGAGATTTATTGGGCAACAATTTGAAAAGTGTGTGCTTGAGAATTTACATTTGTCTTCATTTCTTTTCTAGCATGCCAATAACGGTGTGTCAGGAACTTAGCCATCTATTCTTTAGATCACTCAAGATTTGCACAAACCAAAAAAACTGCACAAGCAAATTTACTATTGTTTAAGTACTTTTGCACACTTCTTGGGCGGGGAATACATATATAACGAAGTGGACACACAGCTATCTGTGCACATGCTCTGTCAGCACTTAATTGGCATGATAGAACCAACAAATTAGAAGGCAGGGACAAACGCAAAAGGGAATGCCTACTGATATGGTTAATAGCCAGATGTAGTGGCCCAGTTGTGGGACTAAATAATTCTCAGATGTTGATAAAAGCAACATAAGAGATGCAGAAGAGAATAAAGACCACTTCTTTCAGGTGTACATGCCAGAGAGCAAAATACAGAAATGGTGTCAAATACTGTTGTATGTTTCCCTTCTAAATATCATGTGTATATGGGAGGTGGAAGGCAATAAACCAGTCCATGCATGTATTATTTGTTATTCAAAAATCTGTGCATGTTTTGTGTTTCCCAAGTAGCAAAAAACCCCCCAAAAATATGGTACAAACAGGGCCTTTAAGTAAATTGGCAGCTGGGCAAGTGGTAATTCACTCAAACAGCTTGATGAGCATGGCTAGCTGGCAATGATCATGTTGGCCCATCTCAAGGGATTGTGCTGAACCATCACAGGGCCAAATAGTGTTCCTTTGGCACCCAGTAATAGGTAAATGTTTATAGTTTGTTGTGTGTCTCCAGCTACGCATTTTGCTCTGCTGAGATAGTCTCCCAGCTACAAGCAGAATACTCAGGGGGAATTGTTTGTTGAGCTCTTAACATGGATACCCCTGAGCCATTGTTAACAGGGTATATGCACATCTGGTGTATTCTAGAGGCTACACTACACAACTGTGCTTTCCAGTTATGACCAGACAGACCTTAGCTGTTGCTTCTTTCTGTGTTAATACATAATGCTAATTGAAACTGTCCTATGTTTAAACATGACGGTCCAAGAATGTGGGGCACAGGATAGCTTACACTTCTTGCTTCTTTTTAGGTTCCGTGCAAAAGTCAAAGTGTAGCGACCTTAAATCTTGGATGGCAACACTTTGGTCTTGCAATTTGTTTTCCCAACATTAATGTAAGCTGCTTTGGGAATCCCTTTTGAACATAGGGCATAGATTTTACTACTAAATGAATAATGCTGGGGTCTCATGGAAAGCTAAGAGTAGGTCTTCCGTGCATCAACCGTACCACCTAACATTTAGCCCAGAGAGAAGTTAGCTTGGCCCATTCAAAATGCTATGTCCCATGTCTGCCTTTGGGGGCTATGTCTGATGGATTGTGCCCCCCCCCCCCCCGCAATCTGCTGCCAGTTCTGTGCTATAGAATGTATAACAATGTTATATTGTGACATCATTGGCCATGCAAGAGGCAGGGAATCTCTGTGGAATTGTTGGCTCTCCTCTTAGCATGCTTTACAGGTTTAATGGCCTAGCTTGCCACCAAACTGTGGTCTGGACCAACAATATCTATGATGGATGTGAGCTGTTTTACGGGGTAGAGCTCAAATTGAGTTGGGCTGCAAGGATTAGCTTGCTGCAGCACCGTTCTAGAGCGTCCAGCCCTCTCTTGAACATCCATTGATCAAGGGCCCCTGCTTCCCATCCCATCTGCTTTAGAAATGTTTCTGTGGAATAAAACAGCCTTTGGATTAAACCTATGCTCTGTCCCATGCATCTTGTAGACACCTTGGGTTGGGTTCCATCCCTTTGTGATAGGCTACTCACAGTAACCAAGACTTGCTTAGAAATTGCCACTGACTTTGAACACATTTCCTAAGAGTTTTTAGCACACAGGCTTCTATGTGAAATCTCCTAGACTGGCATTAGGGATTACAACGTAGAAGATAGTTTTTGTTTTGTCCCTTTTTTGTGCTCTCTCTCTTTCTCTTTCTCTCTCTCTCCGTTGCATGCATTTGCATTTGTGTTGTCTGTCCTTTCTCTTGTTCACCATTTGCTTCTGGTCTTTCCTACTAAACAGCTGCAGTTCCGGAATCCTGCCCCATAAGCATTGAGGAATAGGTATGAGATTTGCGAAGTCCTCTGCTGCTCACTTCGTCTGAATAAACCTAGATATCATTTTGCAGTATAATCTTTCTCTCTAAGGCTTTGTTTGATCAAACAGTCCCCACCCCCTACACACTTTTTTTGAAAAAAGGAAGGATTGCCTCTTGCGCATGAAATATTGGCAGGGGCAAGTGATACTTAATCACTTCTTGAACCAAAACACAAGTGCAGAATGGGCTTTCTTAACTCATTGGTGTAAATGACTTTTAAAAGCCAAGCTACAGAATCTGAGGCTGCAGTCTTACACATGCTTACCTAGAAGTAATTGCCATTGAACCCTGTGAAACTGACTTTTGAGCAGACATGCACAAGATTACACTGTAAGGCAAACCATGTGCATCTATTCATGACCAATAGAACTGTGCCCGGGTGCATTTTTCTGTTTCTAGCCATGTACTGGTTACCCAGGCTATTTCATGTTCAGGGACTTCATGTCCACAAATGTTACAAAGGGTGTAGTGGGATGGGTTTTAGTTCACATGTACTGGGGCAATTATTACCCACCACAACTCTTGACTCTCTTTTGCCATAGGATAGGCTGCTAAAAAATACAGGTTCCAGTACCAATCCTTGGGGGATTCCACCTTCTACATCCCTCCATCCCTGCTCTCTACTTCCTGTTTCTTGATCCACAACAGGACCTCTCTGATTCCATGACAGCTAAGCTTACTCAGGAGCTTTTGGTGAGGTAGCTTGTCTAAAGCTGCTTGAAAGTCCAAGTGCACAATATCAACCAGATTCCTTCTCTGTTATATCTATTAATCTGTCTGACTACAGAAATATATTCACTGTTTTTGTCTTGGGCGCTCAACCACTTTGATTAGCAAATGCCCATAAAATGTTTCCTTCGCAAGAGTGCAAAAAGACTAACGCTGCTGAATTGACTAAATTTGACTATTCAAAAGGTTGCTGTGAACAATGAACTTTTATTCCTTGTGCTATCACATCACAATTAACTTTACATTTCAGCAAGGGCCCATTCCCGAATGAAGGGGGAGTTCTCATACTTCAAAGATTAAGTCCAGGAGGGAGGGAGATAACCGTTGCTGGATATTTGGTTTCTATATAATAGTTGCACTTTCTCTCTGCGCAGCAATGATTTCCTAATGAAATCCCTGCAAAGTGTATGATATTTAGAGCTGTTTTGCAGGAGTTAATTGCCTCATTTAGCATATAACTATGCTGTAGGCTGGCAAGTGGTTTTCTTTCTTTTTTTTGTTTAGTACAAATATAATGCCTTGGGGTCAAATTAAAGCACATGAAAGATGTACTTAGTTGCTTCCTGTAGTAAATGAAAATCCCAGCTTATAACTTATGGCATTTCTTGACTGTAGGCTCCATAGATGCCAAATAATTAAAATGTCTACTTTTTATTCACTGCATCAAAGATGAGAATATAAATAGCTGCGCTGTGCCCAGGGCGGCTATTTTCATACTTGGGCTATAGCTAAACTAAGATAAGTTAGAGTTATAGGGAATGATGTACAGCACTCTGTTAAAATGGTCCTGTTATGTTATCACCTTCCTAAGTCTGTCCGTCTGCGATCACAGAACACAGGCCTGGGCCAATAGGGCTGTTCTTACGGAATGGAAGGTATCAAAATGTTCCTAGAATGAAGAGCCTCATGGGCAATTCCTTTTACTAAATCCAGCAACCATTTGAAGATCTTCTCACAGTGTGAGGCTGCTAAGTTTAGGAAGGGACCTAAGATACTTCCAGACACCATCTGCCTGTGCTTATATGGAAGACATTTGTAGGCATGCTTTGTGTACTTGGAGAAACTTTCATTTTGTTTGAAACCACAGCAGCAGCTTCCATATTCACACTTGTATGGGTAACCTGTCAAACCTGCAGTGAAGATACTATAAATAGCTAGTTATGTTGGCTGGCTTGTCCAATTTTTCATGATCACCTGGAGGACCTAAGAGCATGATAAGTTTCCTTTTCTTTAAATGGATGGTTAAAGTGGTAGAAGAAATTATGACAAACCTCCATTAATATATTTTAAGTGCAGGTAGGAAAGGGTAAATGTTTTTTTAAAAATAAAATAAAAATTAGTTTTACCGAAATTCAGATATACCTTGTAACAAATGTCAGTGTTACAGAATGAACCCAGGGCTCAATGAGGACCTAAAATGAGTTCTGTAAAAACTGCCACCCCTATTTATTGACCGTTATTAAGAACCAGTCTTTCAGTACTCTTGCCAGAGTCTATAGACCACTACATCTATTACTTGCCTAAATTTTAAAGCACAAACCTCTTGTTTTTCCATTCTTTGGCGCTGGTATTCTGCTTCCTATTATCCCGCTAAGCTCTCGCCAATAGTATTATCCATTACTTTTCTTCTCATAGGTATCCAGGCGTCAGCTGACAATCTTCTGAATCACAGCCAGACCCTGAGGCGCCACTTTTCTGCCAGCAGCATCAACCTGGAGTACGATGAAGATTTGCAATGCATGCTGGGACTTCTGTGCCCTCGATGATGTTGCATTGTGTGGAGAGGAAAATCACAGCACTGAACATGTTTCCCTAAAACACTTAAAGCAGCAAAGCTGTGGGCATTACCCCTGTCAAACCCTGCAGATGATGTGACATTGTCTTAAACACCACACATGGTAGCCAAGAATCCACATTGCCCTTGTAATCATTCTATGTTAAAACAAACACACAGTAGGACTGGCTGAATGGCTTGAGTTGGGTTCAAATGATGGTTGCCTCCATAAACATTGATGCTTTGTCTCCTGTTTTCATGTTGTCAACTCAGCGTTCCCTGTTCTCTGCTAATCTTTGTCTTTATGGTGTAACCGAATAATTGTTTGGTAATTGCCATAACACCCGTTTCCCTTTTTAAAAAAAAATATCAAGGAATTAATGCTGCTTCACCTATTTATAATTCTTGACAGGTGCATGTAGAATGTGTACCTGTAAAAATGTAATGTACACAGAGGACAAATTCATACTTGCAAACTAATGCATTGGCACAGCTCCCTATCACATCCACGCAGTGTGGAAGACATGTATTTGATGCCACCTAATACATGCAGCAAACCTGATAGCAGAAAAATGAGATTATAGTTCCTTCACCCATTCTACACTCACCCTGAAGTCTTTTGAGCTGCCTGGATAATGATTCCAGGTCACAACTAAGCAATCAATATGGGGGATGTGTAGTATCCATTATTCTTCAAGATCTGGGCTGAATTCTGTGCTGCATAGAAGTGGCAAGATCTAGTACAAAGGGGGCCCCCCCTTAAAATATGGAACATCTAGCAGCTGTATCTTAGAATGGGGGAGAGAAATGGTAAGCAGACAGACAGTCAAGAGAAAATGACAAAAGAGATTCATTATATGAAAATACAACACTGCCCTAGTGGCTGTTTCTGCTAATTTTGGATCCCATGAGAGGTGATAGAACAGGTGAAGTTAGGCATGTGGACTTGTGGTTGGGAAAAGATTAACTGGCACCAAGTTAGAGGAGCGTTAGTAAGTGCACTTGTAAAGTGATATTATTAAGGCAGACTGTCCCTTAAACTTCATGCATGGCATTACTTTAAAGTGCAGTCTTCCCCCTATGCGATAAAGGCCTTTTAAATGCATCATTAGCTATGCATTTGTTCACTGTTAATGGTCTTGGTTTCCTTGGTGATGAGTGTATGCAAGTCCTGCTGAAGCCAGCAGTTCCCCAGTCATTTTAACAAGCTGTCCATCCCAGCAGTCGAATTTGGTCTTTGGTAGGGACCCACCTGTTGAGTCGAAATTCTCATCCTTCCTTGTGCTGCATTGTCAAGCCTCCCCCTACTGTGCAGAGGCTAGTTGCCAGCAGTCTGGTGAATCACCAACACAGCCATTTTAGAACCTGCTGTTTGAGAATATTTGCACTAAAACCATTGGAAGTTTTGCTGTTCTTGAATTGAGGGTGTGATTTCTAGTACACCCTGTCAAAAAAAAAAAGGAGTGAACATAAAAATGGCATTTGAGCAATTGCAACTGTGGGGGATGGAGTGGGGGTGAGTGAAGCCTCCTCTTGGTCAGGTAAGGTTAGATTGGTGGTGGGTTTTTTGAGCTGGGCTTGACTACTCTCGCCTCCTACCACTTTCATTCCTTTAGCTCTTTCCTACTGTAGAACTAAATTAATGGTGTAGCACAAAGATGGCTTCACAAGTCTTTCTGGGCAGACTCCTTTGATCCTCCAGAAGGAGGAGAGCAGGTTACATCTTTAGCTTTGTGTTAACTGGCCCCCATCATCAAAGACAAAGACTTTGTCTCAGGCCTTTCTGTCGCATCTTCTTGTGTATGGTCAAGCAAGAAAACATTTGTGTTGCATTGTCTTCACCAGCAACACACCCTTCAATATTCCATTTCCCTGTCTACTTTTTGTTTCTCCTTGAAAAGGGGAATGAGAGGATTAAGAAGAATGCTGGACACTTTTCAGTTTTTCTGGAGAACATCGGTTGTGTCTTTAGAAACAACAAAGAGGTATTGCGTCCCAAGTGTGCACATAGTTATTTTGTCCACCCCACTCCAGCTGGTCAGTCAGGTTTTTCTGTATAATCTGTTTACAAGAGACAAAGGGGTAAATATACACACCTTCCACTGTGAAATGCCTGTCACGTGGCTCTGGCCTTTACTGTAATTGACTGGTGGTCATGACAAAACTCTACAACCGGAGACCTTGGATACAGCCTTTAACCTGCTAATTACCCACACGGAGGAGCTTTCAGTATGGGAGTCTTAGAAAAATGGTTGTGTGGTCTTGGGAGTCTTCACAAGGGATAGTGGGGCTGCTTGCTTTAGTTAAATTAATCAAGCTCTCCTCCCACTGCTCCACCAGTAAGCCTGTTATAGGATAAAGTGCATTTTCTCAAGATTTACCTCAGCATTCAAAACGCTGTATGAAGCAAGACCTGAAGACTGGGAAAAGCAATAACAAGAAAAATAGGACTGGCATAGACAGCATGGTTGTGTGTTTTTCCTCAGTTCCCTCACATACCCCTCTGAAGCAAACTCTTGTTTATGTTCCAGAGATTTCTCAGAAAATTGTAATAGTGGCAACGTGGATGGAATGTGGGGTGGGGTGGGGTTACTGAGGAGAAATGTATTTTCTTTTTGTTCGTTCCCCCCTTTACAGGGGTGGGGGGAAGTCAAAGGCAACAGAAATTGCAGGTGCAAGATGGTGTCCATCTGAATTTGTTACTGTGAAGCAGGCACGTGCAGCAGGGAAGCAAGTTGTGCCCCATGCAAGAGTACAGTCAGACTGTTCTTAATGGGTGCACATGCCACAACATGGGACTATGGAACCTTCTAGACACGCTTGTGTGCACCTCAGTGGCAGCAATGCAATATGTATTTATGACTGCATGACTCTTTAAAAGAGTGAATAAAGCTGTTTACAAGGGATGGACAGCTGTTGCCTGGAATTGTTTGTGTGTGTTATTGTCTGAGGTAAAAGATGTGTTACCACCATGCTATTATGGGCAGCGGTTTAAGTCATAGGGGCAGGCTGCTGCTTGCCTGTCAATGTAAAGAGGCTCATTTGTTTAAAAATGAATTTTGAGGAGGGGGTGTGTTCTAACATTCCTTAGGACATATTGTCCTATCTGCTTCCTCTTATGACAGCTACATCTCAGCAACACAAAAGCCATTTTCAAAATGTCAGGATTCATCTTTTTATTGATGTGCCTGGAACTGAGTAACAGATCTATGGAAGCTGGAACGATTATTTGTGTCACTTCAAACAACAGCCTAGGGCCACAGTGAGTTATATGGGAGGTGTAGTGAGTCTTTGAAATCAGAAGATGGCATGCAAGAGCCAAACACACTCTTATTGCCCCAGAGAAAGGGATTTGCAATTACACAAGAGGTAGAAATTACATGAATGAGAAGCTTTTTGAGAAGAAATGGGTGGGAGAGATCTGCCAGTACTAAATTATAGTCTGGTCACAAACAAGGTCTGACCAGCAGAACGTCTCTGCCACCCAAATTTGAATTGTACTACCAGAACATCCGTTACTACAAATCCAAATATTGCAGAATGTTGAATTTCAGCCTTGTGATTTTGCAAGTTGGATTTTGTGAGTTAAATACAGGTTTCAGTTCTAGAATTGTGAGTTAAATACAGGTTCAGTTCTAGAATTGGAGTGCCACCTGTCCCTGCAAGAGCCGTGACTTGTTGGGGGGTAGCTCTCTCGTAGGGTGATGAACATGGTGTATAAAGATGAGCTCCAGAATGCTTGTCATCTCCCCTATTTATCAAAACTTTTCCTTAAAAATAGCAAACGCTTTTAATGTTTCCAAAATGTATAGTATCTCACTGCTGACAAAATATTGGGATGGTGAGTTCTGGGGCTCAAGTTTAGGCAGGACGCCAATCATTGTGTTACTATACAGACTGGGGGACAGAGGTTCTGGAAGGTAAAAAGAAAAAAAGGTGCCCCCGTTACTTTCCTCCCTCCTAAAATCCCCCGATATAGCACAGGAAAAGGAAGGTTTGGGGTTGCTGTTTTTTTTACCTCGAGTCACACCTCCCCCTGACCCTAACCCCTGAATAGTGGTTCAAGGGCTCAAGGAAGACAACTTCTAGCATCTTCTGTACCCATTGCCTTTATAAACAAGCATAGTCATGATGAAACACAACAGTTTTTGTTCTACAAGAACAAGCTACATGGCTGCAACAATTATTTATTCTTACGATAACTAATACAGATTGGTAAATTAACTTCACCATGAATTAGAACTAAGTTTGTCCTTTCAGATTGCAACTGTCCTTCACCCTTCCACATTCTCCCATATACCAGCTATTTATTTGCTACTGAAAATTAAACAATGCTCACCATGCAATTCTAACTTTGCCAGCAGATAGAAATGTGCCCTATTAACTAGTTGCCAGGAAGAGTGGGGGGGGGCTAATGTGTGTGTGTTTCAGTTTCACAGCGGTAACGCTAACCGCATGAACATTTAACAGGGCGGTTGATAACGGGGGGATTGGAGACAGTCCGTAATGGGTGGTGCACTGGAGACAATGTGCTTTAAAATCATTAGAGGAGGAACTGTGCCAATATAATTTCCATTCTGAGATTGGCAGAGCAGAAGTGTAAACGGCAGAGAGCACCCTTTAACTCAAGATGTGCGCCGCTCTTTGTGAGTGAGCAACTGGTATGTTGCAACCTCTGCCGTTGGCGCTGGGCCTGCTTCCAAAGTGGGTAAACTGTCTTAGCGGGGCATTGTCTGATGCTTTTGTGAGGGCAATGGAATGTAAATGTCAGATAAACAATATGAGAGAGAGAGAGAAAAGATCTTTAAGGGCAAGAGATTGGCTTTATGTGTGTAGGAGTGATACTGGTCTCATAACATTTGTATCCTGCTTTTCCTCCAAGGAGCCCAAGGCAGTGTACTTGATTTCCACACAAGCACACTGCTTCATTTAATCTACATGACAACACTGTGAGGTAGTTTAGGCTAACGGATACTGACTGGCCAATCCAAGATCTACCCAGTCCTAGTCTGAGACTAGCCAGTCCACCACTCTGGTTCAGTTGAAAACAGCCATGGGTAGAAGACTCATTTGTCTTGGTGGGCTGTGGGCAAAATCAAAACAAGGTTTTGAGAACTGTTCCACATCTCTGCTGTCCTTTTGACGTGGGGAGGGTTTCTGTCCATTTCTCCCCTGCCTGCCCATACCTTACTGCAGCCTGTTTTAATTTTTCAAAGACTGTAGGGGAAGTGACTGATTAACAGAAATATTTGGACACTACTAGCCAGGTGTGTTGATGTCACCACAGTTCAACTCTGCCCAGCAAAACTCTGCTGAAGCTCTCCAGAATAAAACACACCTCATAGCATCAGCTGCCCTGGATGAGGTAGGCTCACCTTCCATTTCTAAGACAGATTTCCATGTGGGAAATGTACTTGATTTCAATGTGAGTGTGTGTGTGTGTGTGTGTGTGTGTGTGTGAGAGAGAGAGAGAGAGAGAGAGAGAGAGAGAGAGAGAGAGGGAATATGAGAATTGTAGGCAGAATGGTAGAATGGCACTTCAGCCATAAAGCTCCCCTTGAGCTCATTAGTACTTCTCAGCCTTGCCTACATCACAGGCTTGTTGTAAGAATAAAGAGACATGGACTCTTTGGAGGAAGAACAGCATGAACATGTAATAAATACCTAATATCCATTTCAATCATCCCTTTTTTCTGAAAGAAGGGAGGGGGCATCCTATTATATAGGGCTGCGACTGTAGCCTCTTAATTAAAGAGGGGGGCACATCCAGCAACCTTTTTGATGCAGGGTCTGCAGTTCTCCTACACACACAATATTTTCCCCCCTATCCCCTTTCATCTAATTACTTCGGGTTACACAAAGGTCAAGGGGAGAAGGTAAACTCCTCAGAACTGAAGCAGGTAAGCAGAAGGGAAAAGCCCTGCCGGCTGCCTTCTCTGGGCCCAAACTTGCACGTGGGGTCAATTTGGCCCCCGGAATTTCTTAGCATCATGAAAGGCTAACTATTAATTCAGCCATGGCCAAGGTTCAAGGAGAGCCAAGACCTTTGCACATGAATGCCCTCTTCCTCCTCCGCACCCCTCCAACTGCAAGCAATGACTCTTCATCGTTTTCTCTCAAATATAACTTCAAAGCAGAAGTAATGCCTGGTCGATTGGGGGGTTGAAGGGGGGGGGAGAGTCAGCAACTGCCCTGCCCTGCTGATCAGAGTGGACAAAAGCAACGCCAAGCTAAAGAGATGAGGGGGGGGAATTGCCCCAGTGAAAGGAAGGAGCAGGCGGTTGAAATCGTTCCCTTTCTTTCCAAGGCCTGGAATCTTTCTGGTTGCTGGGTTGTTTGTTCTTGGCAGAGGGGATCTCTCTCTCTCTCTCTCTCTCTTTCCCTACACCTCCAGCTTTCCCTTAGTATCCCGAAGAATAATGGGCATCTGGGAGCTGTTTCAAGTGGACTTTAATTTGTCTTAATGAAACTCACAGCAAATAATTCCCAAGCGCCCACCCCCCCCCCACCCCTCTGTGTGCCAGTGGCCACATACCAACCGAGCCACCCTTACAAGCAAAGCAGCCGACGGGGGGCGCGCGCGCACACAAGCACGCGCTTTTGAAAAGAAACCCCCCCACCCCCTCGCCGGGTCGTTTATTTTTTATTTTTTTTTTTAAAAAAAGCGTGCGATTGCGCTTCGTCAGATATTTAAAAGCATTTTAAAGGTTTCATAAGCTTCTCTTTCCCCACCACGGCAGCCAGGATCCGTGACTAAAAATTAACTGGTGGCAAATGAAGCAGGTGGGAGGGGGGGGCTCGATGTGGAGGGGAGAGAGATGGATGGGGGGCAAAACAAAGTTTGTGCAAAGTAGCAGAACCGCAGAGAGAGAGAGAGAAACCCTGTCAAGTGATTGCGCTCTCCATGGAGATCCGAGGACCAATGAGAGGGGCAGAAGCTGTTTATAGGGGCGGAGCGTCTCCATAGCATCCAGAGAAGCCTTTCGGAGCAGCTACTTATTGACAGTCATTCTGTTGCTTACAAATCACAGCGGCTCCGGAATAAAAGGGCTCTGGCAGCGAGGGGCGTAATAATTCATCCAACGGGAGAGCAGTAGAAATCTACCCTATTTCCCTACCCGGCCCCCACCGCCACACACTTCACCCCACTGAATATTCGGCGCTTAGTAGTAAACACTTGGCGGTAGTGGGATTCCTTCGTAGGAACAGGTAAGATAAACGGAATTATTTGTTTCTTAACAAGGCGGGGAGGGCAGGCCAGCTTTATTTCTCCGCCACGTTATCCTGGGGAGGCTGGAATCCTCCCAGCACACAATTTTTTTATTTTATGGTTCTGGCCAGACGTGAATGCAGAGGGACCCTCTCATGAATCCATCAACGCAAATGTAACAACACTTTCATTTAAAAGGGGAAGAAATAATCCATGGTAAGAGCCTTTTGGGGGCTTGGTTGAATTCTGTGTTTTTCATGTGAAGATGGTTGCCATGAATCTTCATGTACTAGTTCAGGGGGAGTAAAGCTTAAATACAGGTACTCAGCCACTCTTCCTCTGTTTCTCCAACCTAAATGCCGTCTTGTTATGCTTACATATGCGGCATACAAGATTCATAGGATTTCAAAGCAGCCCAGTCCTATGAATAATATACTGGGCATTAAGCCCCATTGAGGTAAATGGGGCTTACTCTCTGGGTACAGGATTACAGCCTTGAGCAGCCCAGGTGTGATTTTACCCTCTGCTCTATGAACCAGCTGAGTCAAAGCAGTCAGGTTTAAACCGGTTTAGCTCCCTGCCGAATCAATGGGAGCAATTTGCAACCCTAAGCCCATTACCTGAAGGTAGATCCCATTGAAATCAATGGGATATACATCACATAATGTGTTTGGCACTGGGGTGCCACTTGCCTTAATGAAAGTGCTTCAACTTATGGATTGTGTTGCTGGAGGTAGATTTTCCTTTTTTTAAAAAATTGAATCACTTTTATCCCCAAGATAGCCTTGGAAATTCTAGGCATTATGGAATGGCGTGAAACTCCCACCATCTTAACCATTTTTATGGCAGTATTCATACCTCTAATGTTGAAGAAAACAAAAACAAAAACTGATGGTGTTGTGCATTGAGTGAGGAATGAATGATAGATTTAAAACAGAGGCTACTTCAAATCACTAAGATGGAATCTGTAAAAGGGTTAGGGACTGTCAGGTTTGCAAGCTGAAGCATTTATGAAGCTGAATAAATTGTTATTTACCTAGAAGGAGATACTAACATGTTCATTTCAGTTGCATGTTTCTAGCTGGGTTTTAAGTGTTTCAATAGGAACAAATGCTACTTAGATTCTTGGAAGTTTTGCGAAAAATCTTGCCACAAAAGAAAAAAAGGGGCATTTGGGTGAATTCCACCCATCTTAGGCTGTGGTCTGCATAAAGCAGGCTGGTTAAGTAGGCTGGTTTGAGAAGGGGATCCTACACCCAGGGATGGCTCAGTTCTCTGGGATTACCTCAAGGGTATATTTGGCTCCAGTGCTTTTAGAGTGTCTGGCTAGAAAACAACCTGCTCAAGTGTTTGTTTGTGAGCCGCCTATTTGTTAGGGGCTTTGAACTTCTTCGTGTTATTGTTGCAGGATTGTCACCCCCCCCTGCCCTTCCCCCTTCTTCCCCCTTCCTGCTCTCCCACAATTCCTGAATGTTGGACTTGCCTATTTTGGCTTCCCCTGACATGACTGACAGCTGGCTGAACGTGCAGTCTGAAGAAGAGAAAGGCCAGGAAAGCAGCATGGCAGATTCGAGCAACCTGGACGACAGCTTGACCAGCCTACAGTGGCTTCAAGAATTCTCCATCATCAACGCCAACATGGGCAAGGCAAGCTCTTCCCCTTGCAGCACAGATCCTCACGGCTATCACAAGATCCCTGGCTCTGCTGCACCGTGTTCCCCTCTAGCTGGTGACCCGGCTTGCATGGGGATGCCCCATACCCCTGGCAAGCCAATCTCCTCTTCCACATCCAGGACTGCACACCTGCAAGGCCAGCCATTGGAAGACATAGATTACAAGACTAATCCCCATGTAAAGCCTCCTTACTCCTATGCCACGCTCATCTGCATGGCGATGGAAGCGAGCAAGAAAACCAAAATCACCCTCTCAGACATCTATAAATGGATTACAGATAATTTCTGCTATTTCCGCCATGCAGACCCCACATGGCAGGTAGGTGCCTAGGATGGGACAGCCCATACCTCTCTGCATTTTGGCCACCCAGTCATGTGGGTGAGGTTATAGTGCACTTGCTACTGTCTCCATGTTTTCTGTTGGCTATCCACTGCAGTTCATGACCAGCCATCCTCCCAAATCAGCCTTGATGCTTCTATGACTTACATTATCTGACAGTGAAACTGTTTCACCACTATTTAAATTCTCATAATTTCCATGTGAGGCAAGTGTTGTGTACACCTAATATGCTAATGAAGGAAATCTAAGCTACTTGGCCAGAAACCTTAAAAATGGCCATGCTTAGAGCAGCAAACAGCTCCCTACATTCTTAACACACAACACAGTCCTAACCATATCCATATAGAATTTGATGGGACTTGATGTTTAGTCGTTTAGTCATGTCCGACTCTTCATGATCCTGTGGACCAGAGCACACCAGGGACTTACTTGATGGGACTTACTCCCAGCTAAGTAGAGTTAGGTTTGCAACCAGGGGCTGGACCCACACCATACCTTTTGAACACATTCAAAGCATTTACACCCCAAATAAGTCCTGGGAACTGTAGCTTACCCCGACAGAACTGCAATCCCCAGCAGCTATAACAAACTGCAGTTCCCAAGATTATAAGGGGTGGTGGTGGTTATGTGCTTTAAATGTATGGTGGGTGTGCAAATTTAGACACTAGCACCCTTTTTTCTGGATCATCTTTCATCATACATACATAACGTAAGGTTCCATCACTGTCAGCTGTGCCACCTTACAGGAGAACCAGCTATGTCTGTGGTCAGGTGGCTGTAAGACCCTCTTGCCACAAGATGAGGAACAGATCTCCTGTCAACCTCCTATGACAATAAAAAGCGACCAAGTGTTTGTAGTATTCATGCTGCAGCTCCTTTCTGTGCTTCCTTCTCCCTAGAGTGCAATTACTGTTGCTTGGTATGTTTCCTATCAAGGTGTTTTGCCTGGAATAAGCACTTAGTAGCACACAGAGGTTGTGGTAAATGAGAAAGCAGACCAATGTAAACAGGCATTTTCTCCTTTTGAAGGTAGCAATTATCTAACAAAGACTGTGGATGATTGAGAGAATGTCCTTTTTGGTTTTTTTTTTGAGGCTCCAACAAGCGTAAAGGAAGTGCCATAGAAAGTACAGAAAAACAACAGAGGGGCAGTGAAGGGGAAGAGAGAAGGAAACAGGTGGAGGGCGAAAGAAAAGTAAAGATGGCAAGAGTAGGAGCCAAGAGGCGGGTTGCGTTGCCTAGAGGTGATTCTCCTCCAATCTTTCATTGGATGCTTAATGCTGCTAATCCAATCAGTCATAAATGGGCATTTGGAGTCAATTAAATGCACAACTGGGAGGCAGGGGAACCATTTAGAGAGGGAAGGGGGCAGTCAACCCCACTCCATCCTTCATTGCGGATAACATGTGATTATTCCCCACAAGTGTTTATATTTCTGGTTACAACGAGGTAGAAAAAATAGCCACAACAAATGCTCTCAGGATACCTGGTTTTTTAAAATAAATTTTATCTTGAATATACCCAAGAATAAGCCTTGCACTTTGCTGTAAATCTTAATGCTCCACCCTGAAATGTCTTTGTTTTCCCCCAGATTTCAGTGGGAACAATCTTGTTAGGAGGGCTTTGGAAACCAGCTCTTTGAATATGGAACTATCTTCCATATTCAGTATCTGGAAGCTTAACTTCTTGTATCCAAAATTTAGTTGGTCACACAAGTAGGATATACTTGGCTGATTTGCGTCATGCCTGGAGAGCATTTAAAACAAGCAACTGCTTCACTCACTTCTAGGGAGAAAGAGGAGAAAAAGTCAGAGGTATAAATTTCTTTCCCCCCAATCCCACCCTGTGATCCATTGAGGAGGAAACGCAAGTGCCAAAGAAATTGTTGTGTCTTTTCTGTGCGACCTGATGCTTTCCAAGATTGACTGTGGAGAAGCATTTGAAAGAAGGCAAAATAAAGATTTGAGAGAGGTTATTAGGAAAGAGGTGCATCTAAGTGTAGAATGGCTGGGATATTGGATCAGAAGTATACAGTGCCTCAAATGGTCAAAGACAGAAATATTATAACTTTTCACTAACCTCTTGGAGAGGTGTAAGTAACCTGCAAGATGTTGCTAGATTACAATTCCCATCATCCTTGATCAATGGCCATGCTGGCTGAGGGTAATGAGAGTTGAAATCCAATAACAGCATATGAAGAGCCAAAGTCTCATGACCACCAGCTGAACAACCTTGGACATAAGACATCAGCCTGCAATGAAGGCTGTGGCCTGTAATGAGAATAAATTCACTTTTGTTACCATGTTAACAACAATATTGAAATATTGCATGTTGAGGCTCTCTCCCTCCCCTAGCAAGCACCACAGTGTAAGGAAGAATGTCTGTCCTTTAGCACCACCTCCTTCAATTCCCAATGTCTGTGATACGTGGTAGACTCATTTGTGTCTTTGGCTCTTTGAGGTTTAAAAATATTAGGCTGGACAAGTAAAAGTTTGGGTAGGAAAAAAGAGGGAAAGTTTTGCCTTTCAGAAAATCCAAATAAAATTTGTTCACCAGGTCTTTATAAGGTACTTACTGGACTCTATTACTGTAGCATCTATATGGCTTGTAATTTTTTTATGTCCTTCAAATAGTCCTGGTAAGACAGTGAATCTGTAGCTCCACACCAATAGACGGAGACCCAAAAGTCAGCATATTTCAAGCATCCACTCTTCATTCTGTACCTTGGACTTTCCCTTCTGCTCTCAAAGCACTGTTTTCTAAAAATAATAACAAGCATCATCATCTCAGTCAAAGGAAAATGATGAGTACATGTCATTCATTTCTGACAATTGATGTGACAGTTTGATATTCATGGGTAGTTTTAGTGTTGAATCCTTGAGGGAAACCCTCTTGAAATGTTCCTTGCCACATCGTTCTTAAGATCATAAGAGCTAACTCCTAGGGGCTGAAGGGAATTCACACACACCCAAAATTGAGGGGACCATCCCCCCACTAAGTTGATGGGCATTGCCATTCAAATGGTGTGCGTGCACCGTGTCATGTGATCAATTACGAGGGGTGGGGCTTATCTGGGCCCTCCAGTATTTTATTGAAGTTGGCACCCCTGCTTAAGGTGAAACAAAGAGTTTTCTCTCCATCCTAAGTGATTAGTGAATGAGTTAGATTCTAGGTGGTTGGATATGGTGGTGATGACATAACATAGTACAGTGTTATTGTCATTCCATCACCTGTCAAAAGGCTGCCACTACACACTGCTAAGCTTGTTTCCAATCCTCCTAGTAGACTGTATCACAACCAGGTCTCTTGATGTGCCAAAACACTATTGCTTGCAGTCACCACAATAACGCTGCTCAGTGTAGTGGATGTTTCTGATTCCTACCATGATCACAATGCATAAAACAAGTAGTAACATCTAGCCTGATGAAGACTTCTGGAGAACTCAAAAGCTTGCTCACTATTTTCTGACATTCTAGTGGTCCTAAATCCTAATAAAGGTATTGACCAAAACTAAATCCATTAGGTTTCCTATGAGATTGGGACATTTTATGTTTTACAGAATTAACAACAACATGGGCATTAATAAGTACAAACAGAAAGAAAGAAAAACCCTTGCATATTGATGTAGTTGATGCAAACTTTCCTGTTCTTTCTTTCCCCCTTTTAAAAAAACAAACCCCCAGTATTCACTCCCTCTTTGTCGTGATGCAGGTGGTTTGATGGATCCTTGCAGGGAAGAATGATAAATATGCTAACTAGCTGGGTAATAATCAGCTTGTAGGCAGGCCCAGCAGATTTAAACTGACTCTAGCAGGGGAGAGGGTTATTCTCTGACCCTTGTAAAATTTCATTAAACAGTAAATTCTGACTCATCGGAGACCAGTGCATTCACAGGAATTTCTTTCTTTCTTTCTTTCTTTCTTTCTTTCTTTCTTTCTTTCTTTCTTTCTTTCCCCTTTCTCCCATCGTGCCCATGTTCTCACCCGCCTCGTCAACCCCAGTTCCTGTAAGTGCAGACACAAAGTCAAAATGTCATGCCACCCATAAGCAGGGGGGTGGGGGGATGGGGAGAGATTCCTGTGGGAGCTGTGTGCTTTGGAAAGGAGCCAAGATGCCCAGGGAGTTTCAGCCCAGAGGAATAGCTTCTTATTATTATTTAGCCCTCCAGGCATTCAAGCCTTGCTTTTGCTCTTTGGCAATACGGATTATGGATGAATAAGCATAAAGATATCCAGGCAACATTTTTTTTTAAAAGAAAAAAAAAAGAATGAAAAACTCTTGCACACAATCCTTTACCATATCCAATCTCTTAACACCCTCCTGGCTTTGTGCTCTGTAAGAGGGTGTTATTTACCCAATAACAGAGTTTCCTTTCTGATTGTGCACATCACTCCAGACACGCACATTCATTCTTCTGAGGAGTAGCTCTATGGGAACAGTAAATGCCCCTTCTTTTTATTTATCTCTTTGTTGCTATTTTTTCCTAGAGCTTTTCTGATTTTCCTTTTCCTTTTTATGATGATTCAGAGGGTGATTTCATATGAAGTCCATTCCAACTAAAGGATGTTCCATGGGTGCGCAAATGTGTTTCTCACATGGGTGTGTAAATATAAGCAATCCATACCAAGGAGGCCAGTGAGTGTGCAGAGCAAGGGGGGGGAGTTATGTTGTGTCCCCTTTTCCATTTCTGTCAAATGAAGTGGTTCTTTCACAGTGCCGTCATATTTAGCACCATAGTGTACCATGGTAGCTGTGGTTTATGGGATAATCCTTGAGCATCAGACATGTTGGTTCACACATCATTTGAAGCTTAGCTGTGCTTTAAAAGGTGAACCTGCAGTGTGCTGGTGCACAGAGCAAAAACCGCCGCTGCTTCATTCCTCCCCTACTCCTGCCAGGAATGAAACCATGGTTTGGATTAGTGACACTTAAGAACCTGAGCTCACTGCTTGTTTTGTGCAAGCAAGCCAGAAGCCAAGAACAAACTTGGGTAATTTACAGTTTATGGTTTGTTTGGAGGGAGGAAAAAACAATGAGCCCAGGTTTAGACATAATCCTAGCAGCCTGGCATGAGCAGAGGAAGAGCAAAGCAGCTGAGATGTTACAGTGCCTCAAGTACCTTGCATGTTCATTTTTAAACTATAGGTTTTTAAAGTGACACATCAGCCAGGCCAAAATCAGTTTTCTGGCTAGCATGGGATTTAAAAAACAACCCAACTATGAGGGTCATAAAATGTCTGGCTTACCTTTCTGGTCTCCTGGAGCATTGAGGGAGGAGGTCTGTTCTCTTCTGATTTTGAGGTTGTGAGATGGTGATCTTCATCTCACTGTTCAGAAAGTTGCTGTGAACACTTCTGACCAAAACCAGTGAAACAGAAACTGTCTCTTCTAGCACCATGGAAGGGAAAAAGGCGCTATTTCTACTACACTATTTCACTGCATTACAGTCTGTTCTGGTCCAGACCTAATATGCAGTCTTTTAGACTGAAAGAAACTATTCATTGTAACTGGGGCTGGGGAAACCCAGCCAGATGGGCAGGGTGTTGTGGTTGTTGTTGTTGTTGGCATATTAAAGGAGACACTTGATCTTATGATGACTGACACTCAGGATAAATGGAGGGCATCTGCATTAGCTTTTTCTTATATTAAGGTGTTCTCCCCCTCCAGTAATTCTGAATGAGCTGGAGCTTGGGGGAATATAAATGTCTTTCCTTAAGCATCACTAAAGGACAGCAAGGCTGGGCATGTGGTTGCTTAAAAATTACTTCTCTTTCTTTGCCCTCCACCTGCAGAGATTGTTGAGGTGCCTTATTTCCAGAGGTCAATTTTCCTCTTAATCTTCCACATATGCCTCCATCAAAACTCTCTTTGCACTTTCTCTTCCACCATCCATATTTTTTCTCTCGTGCCAGCACTGGACTGGATCTTGTATATCCATCCATACCTGTCTTCAGGCTACTCCACCATGGTTTTCTGGTTTTCTTTTCCAGCTGAAACTATTTTTTTGTGTGTGTGGTTACTGAGTATCATCTCTCTCTTTTAACCACATCAGTTGTTTTTAAGGATGTTTTGTACTTCTGTAAATTTTGGGATTCCCCCTAATTACTCTAGTTTCTCGGTGGCTCAGTCTTGGCTCCACTTCTGCTGGCATGTTTGTTATTTAAAGGAGTGATGGAAGGAGGGCAGCAGACTAGAAAAGGTGTGTCAATAAGAGAACAAGTGTCTGTGTACTATGAGGGAGATGAAAGACCCTTTTCACGTTTTAAGTATTATTATTTATGAAAAGTTTTAAGTACAGATTTAAACAGATTTAATCTCATTCAGCTCTCTTCTTGACTTCCCTGACAACACCTTGGAAATGGTAGCTTTGCAAGAGTGCTGAGAATTATTTCTTAGAGACCTCTGCACAGAACAGCAATTTGAAAGCCAGGGTGTGCTTTGAAAGTCGTTTAAACTTGTAATATAGACACACATGGCATAAGATCTTTTCCTGAAAGCTCAGGGCAACTTAGAACATTTTAACAGAATCAAACCTTGAAACTAAGGGCAGATCCATACCCTACATTTAAAGTACATCCAACACACGGCTTCCCCAGGAACTGTAGTTTCCCCCTTACAGAGCTACAATTCCCAGCACCCTTAACTGCAGTTCCCAGGATTCTTTCTGAGAAGTTATGTGTGTTGAATGTGCCCTAACACTATGCAATGCATGCACTAGAAAAAGCAGACAGGGTACTAACACTCCTCATCTCCCCACACTTGCCATTGGCATCCATAGGCCATCTCAAATGAAGGTTCGTACAAAATACTTCCAGTAAATATTCTGGTTCATGTCGCTCTTGTATGAATTTAATGTGACATGATCTGACGTTCTTGGTTGATCATGATGGTTAAAATATCGCGATGGGAGTTGAGGCATGAATCCATATATTTCAAAGTTGTATAGGAACGAGGATGGTCATTTATCGGTAGAAATATGCCTGGCCATGTGGCTCATTTAAGCATCATTCTATTCCAGATTCAGTTTCACTGTGGCAAGCCACTTCAGCCTTCTTCCTTGCTGAAAAGACCTTCACACTTACAGCTGATTCAGCCGCCTTCATTGTATTCACTTCAATGTGAGTTTATGTTTGCAGTTACTTATATTAAAACTCCATTTTGTTTAATTCTGGTTTCAGAACTCCATTAGGCACAACCTGTCCTTGAACAAGTGCTTCATCAAGGTGCCACGAGAGAAGGACGAACCAGGGAAAGGTGGATTCTGGAAGATCGACCCCCAGTATGCAGACAGGCTGATGAACGGAGCGTTCAAGAAGCGCAGGATGCCCCCTGTGCAAATCCACCCAGCTTTCACCGGAAGATTCCAGCAGGATGCTGGCTCCAGTTCATTGGCTCACCAGGCGGCGGCATCTTGGAAAAACAACAGCATCCTGAAAATCAACATGGAGTCTCAGCAGCTGCTCAAAGAGTTTGAAGAAGCCACCGGCGACCAGAACTGGAACCCGGCAGATGGGAAAATGAGCCATAAACGCAAGCAGCCACTCCCCAAGCGAATGTGCAAGACAGCCCGCCTCTCCAGCTCCCCCCTGCTTACTCAGGAAGAGCAGACAGAGCTTGGGTCTCTGAAAGGTGACTTTGACTGGGAAGCTATCTTCGACACCACCTTAAATGGTGACTTCTCCACCTTCGAGGATCTGGAGATCACTCCTCCTATCAGCCCAATAACCAGGGATGTAGACTTGACTGTGCATGGAAGACATATTGAGTGCCCACAGGAGTGGTGCCCTGCCGGCCAGGATTACATCCTAACCGAATCCAACCAGAACAGCTTGGACTTTGACGAGACCTTCATTGCCACTTCTTTCCTCCAGCATCCCTGGGATGAAGGGAGAAACGATTACCTCTCGAGTTCTGTCAACATAGACCCGCTCTTTGAACTCAACGATCCTTCATTGCAGACGGAAATGAATGACTGGAGCAATGCTGGGTGTCTTTAATGAGTGACAAGAGCCCTGGCTGGAAGGCTCAAGATCATCCCAGGTTGACCTGCTGTATGAACAAGATTGGCCCAGTGCTGCAGGACTTTACACTAACAGTAGAATCCTCTAGCAAACAAGACATCTTCATTCTTGGGACCACGTGGATCACAGAGGTGTCGGGGGTGGGGAGGGAAAGATCTGGAGAATTTGGCAGGATGTATCTGAAAGCAACACACGGGGAACTCTGTACCCCAAAAGACAACAAAATAATAATAATACAGTACTTATTTTTGTGTTCTTTTAAAGAAATATGGAATTTTTCTACTTCGGGGGTGGAGGGAATTGAAAAGGGCATATCTTCCTTGCAGGGGAGGGCATGACATTTGAATATAATGGAATAGGATGGAAGAGCTGGCCTTTTCTGGTTACTAAGAACATGTTAGATCTGTGATTTCTGTAATTTCCTCTTCCTTCTTTTGTCCATTTGCTTCTCCCTCCATCCCTCTCTTTCATGTGAGTGTGTTTGCATTGTTTCTACCCAGGGAAAATTTCTTATAGGTAAAACATGGGACAATTAAGTAGCAGGCAAATACAATTCCCATCTGTATTCTAGGAATTTCAGCCACCAGTCTATCTAGGACTAGTTTAGATGTCGACATCTGTATTTTCAGAAATGAATCAACAAGGCAAGATCTTTCAGGCTTATAAAATAGAGAGCCTACTATATATCTATATATCTATTACAAAACCTATATTTTTAGCTACAGGGCACAATCAGTAGAGTATTTACAGCGGGGGTGGGGAATGAGGATTGTTTGTAATAATGTTAATTAAGATTGAAGTGTATCAAGCATTTGTTATACAGAGGGGAAATGTAATAAAATATGCAAGTGGGAATTCCTGCCAGTAGAGGATTTTTAAAAATCCACAAATGGGGACCTGGCATTCTCTAGACGGTCCTTTTTACTTATTTTTGTATCTTAAATTCTTTACATTTTTGCAATCTTGACTGTGTATACTGTAAAGCCTAGACATTTGAAGTCATGGCAGGCAGGCCCTCTAAAGTCTCGAACAACTAACAAAGTGCCGTACCCTTTCCTAGCCGGAAGCTATGAAGGAATCTGTGTGATTGAAAGACAGACTCTGACAAATCAGTTGCCAACACAACTGATCAGTAATGAAGGGGTATTATTTTCCTCTCCTTTTGGCCAAGCGATCCCGGGTGGGTACTTCTAAAATATTCCTCTGCTTTCGTTAATGTCTCCGTATATTTGAGTCTCTAGCCAGAGAGAGCTTAAAACAAAACTCCGAATGGGCATGTTAATCAGTGGCTCTAGACTCATGGTAGGTACACACTGTGTGATAATTTGTATTCAGTGCTGGATGAAAGTGCACTTTTGAGGTGCCGTACATACCGACAACATCCCGCTACATATTTTTAAAATGCACATTTTTTTCAAGGTGAGGAACTACACATGTGCAAGTGCGGTGAGGTGTTGGACCATTTATTCCAGCGCTTAGGGGGTGTGACTAGACTACATGAATGGAGGGGAGTAGAGAACATCGCTGTTCACTGCTTCTTAAACCTCCTACCTGTATGTACAGATAGCACAGAGACTAACTCCCGCTTTAGGCAACGTTGCTGTGCAAAGCTATGTACAATGGCAAAGTGCTATGTACAAAAGCACTCTGTGGAATAACAAGCCCTGTGTATTTCAAACTGTACGTGTGCCCATAGCCTTAAGTGGATGGTTACAGGCCAAAGGCGGTATATGCAGTAGAAACTGCAAATGAAAGCTTCCCCCTGCCTTCTTATTTAGCTTCCATCCTAGAACTGAAGTTGCCACCCAGCTAGGTGTTTAGCCCACAGCTAATGTTAAGCCAATAGTCATCTTAAGCTTTATGTGCATTCAAGTAAACTCTACTGTCTGCATTTAGCAGACACAGAAACAAACAGAACGTTCATCAAGCAAACGTCAAACCTTTTTTTATTTACTTCTCTGCACCTTCCTGAATAATGTACACCCACGTGCATTATGTTTTGAAATGTTAATGTTTCCATCCCCTTAATCAGTCTGCCCCAATGATTTTTAAGTGGGGGAAAGGCTACAACCTGGGGAGAAAAGTGCAGGCTTTCTGTTTCTGTGTGACAAATATGATGAACTGCGATAAATGCCTCTTTAGAACTGCATCTGTTCACATCAGAGTATTCTGCCCGCCCACCAGTTTATTTTAACAAAAGAGCTAGACTTCCAGGGACAATAATTTGACACCTAGAGATGGCTGCTTCCCATGCTACGTTCTCTTTGTTCACAGTTAAAAAAAACATAACCCGCATCATGGACACAGATGAATCCGCAGAGAATCCAAGCACAGCTCTTTGCTTTCTGCCCCCAATATTAGTCCTGTGCTCACATTAGTGTGCAAGGAGAGATGCGGCAATGAAGCATTGTTATTTCCTAGCACTTTTAGTATTCAGTGTGCTTTACAATCATCCTCACACCATCCCTCAAAGGTAGGCCACTGAATCTCTCTTTAGGCAGAAGACTGAAGGCCATTCCAAATGGCATGGGGTGTTTTTATGTGCAGTAAATGTGCATTTGGTTCTGAGTTGCTGCACACTTTCTATACACATCGGCTGCACATTATATTTTCCAAGCACTTGACCCAAATTTATTTTTTTATCTTGGGATATGCAGAGTGCACACAGTCTAGAAAGGGCAACCTGTGGACTACACATCCAACCTCCGATACAATTTTTTTGTGTAATCAAGAGTTTATGAGTTCTGGGCAGCACCAAGGTAGTCCCATATTTGGGATAGGGATAGACACCATTTATTCCTTGAAGCGTCTGCAGGAATGTAGGACATAAATTCCCAGATAAAATAAACTGCCCCCAAGCATGGACAGCTTACACCCTGCCAAGTACTAGACTCCTAAAGGGTAACAGAGCCACACCTCCTGGGTAGTAAAAATGTTCTGCCTTGTGACATTCACAGATGAACTGCCACCACCTGCCTAGTCTTCATTACTTGGGTGATAAAGCACATGGCCCCCCAAACTGGCCATCTCTAGTCTAAAATATATTGCCTCCAAAGGTCAATGTAAGAAGACTACGCTGGAGGTACACACACACACCTGGAAAAGTCACAGGCATATGAGTACCTGAAAAAGCAAAGTAATGGAAGGCAAAGTATGTTCATATTCTGGGACCAGCTGGTATTAATATTGCTAATAAAAATCAACAGAGCTTCCTGGAGCTGAGCAGGATTCAGCCCTCTATTTGATTTGTAGTGGGAGTGTAGAAGAGTACTGTATCTGGGAACCATATGGATCACCTAAATATAATGGGGGAAGAGGGGAACTACTGACATGGAACTGAAATATGAGCAATTCAGATTCTAATCCACTCCTTTGCTGTTGGAAATGTTATTAATTTACAGTGAGTTAAAATACTAGATTTTCTTTGGAGTGTGTTTAGATTAATGAAAAATAGCAAGCTAGGAACTGTTGCTGTTGGAAACAATATTAGAAACCTTAATCATGTCCGTAGATATGTGTACATGTCTCTCTCTCTCTCTCTCTCCTTATTGCTTGTTTATTGAAAAATAAAAATTAGTTTGGGTAACTACTGGAAAAGAAAAGCCCTTATTTTAAATTATGGAAGAGCATATATTTCAGAACTAAAAGGAATGGGGACTTACATGCAAAATGGACCAGGTGCTCAGCATCTGTTTTGAAACAAATACCGGTAATTGAGGCAAAACGGAATGATTTGCTGAATTTAAAATTTGGAACTTTAATTCAGTGCACTCAGATTTGGAATTCACGTTTCAATGGACACGAGGCATACAGAGTTCAGCATTTTAAAATCCTATTGTTCAGTGAAAGAATTAAGTTTGCGCTTTAACTCTCTTCCACCAAAATCAATAGGACTAAATAGAAATCCAATGGATTTTTGTTATGTCTCTTTGTATTTGGGGATTTGGCATTTGAAGCACAGATATATATCTGAAAAAACCTAAATATGTAAATATGTACTCTCAGATTCACAACCTAAATGTAATATTCAGCATTCAAATCAATGAGATTTTTGTCCTTGATTTCAATGGGTTCTGGTTGCAGTCAGTGACTTTACTTCAACCTATTTTTTAAAAAACCTAATACTGCTGCAAATCTAATTTCAGTGTTCTCCTAATGAGTAAAGTCGCTTTATTGCAGTCAATGACCAGTATCAGGATGACCAGTATCAGGAGGTATTTAAATTCATGTTCGTCTTGCACGTTTAGAATAGTGAATTTGTTCAAGCTTTTCTCAAGAGGTACAGATCAGTTTAGATCTATGGAAGTTGGCTTGAATTTCTGGACTGCCTACTGCTGAAAGCCTGGTCCCAGTCTCCATACAGGAAGCTTCAGGAGCACAGTGTAATTTTAGAGATCAATGGCTTCAGAAAACATAGCAAAGTCTAGAGGAGAATCAGCAGATGGAAGTTCTAACAAGAAAGGCAAATGTGTTTGGCTGAACCAACTACTCATCTGCGCACAAAAGGGCAAGTTGTGAGAATGGAATAAATCCAATTTGCCTCCTGATGAACCTATCGGAGATAAAAATCAAATTATGCTCCCCCCCCCCCTTTATGACAACCTGGGAGCGTCAGGCCTACCTGTTGCTTGCAGGATCTAGGTGAAGGAACATGGCACAAAGTTACTCACAAAACTCATTTGCTGCATCAGGCTTCTGCCTTCCATGTGTTTTAGACCACTGCTCTGAGCAGCTCCTGGCTATGGCTGATGTGCGTTGTAGCCCAAAAACATCTGGAAGCCACAAGGTTGGCAAAGGCTGTGCTATACAAACAAGGTGGGAGCTATCTCTCAAAATGCACACACTACAAACACAAACTATTTCCAAGCCTCTGTTATGGTCAAACTTGCTAAACTTCCAACCAAGAAGCTCTGAAAAACAAATTCTCAGTAGCAATGCAAAATGTTAATTCCACAAGTGCTTTAATGGAAATCGCAACAGAGAAAATGGGCTGCGTCCACACTGGGGCTTTCTAGCACTACTGATGGACTGGGTATAATTCAACATAGTGCTAAGAAGTTTCCGGATGAATCCTTAAAGCTGGCTCTTTCAAGACTTCCCTCTCTTGTAAAGTGGCATTGCCCACCCCATGGCTCCAGATCCTATTCAGCTTAATATAGTACAGTGGTACCTCAGGTTAAGAACTTAATTCGTTCTGGAGGTCCGTTCTTAACCTGAAACTGTTCTTAACCTGAGGTACAGTACCACTTTAGCTAATGGGGCCTCCCGCTGCCGCCGCGCTGCTGTAGCATGATTTCTGGTCTCATCCTGAAGCAAAGTTCTTAACCCGAGGTACTATTTCTAGGTTAGTGGAGTCTGTAAGCTGAAGTGTCTGTAAGCTGAAGCGTCTGTAACCTGAGGTACCACTGTATTAACCATGAAAGACAAAGGTCAAGCCAACTTGATAGTAGTTAGCACAATTGTAGCACAATTATTCGCATCTCCAGACTGTAACAACTGAAATTCATCCAATAAAACATGGCCAGAGCTTGCTACAGACACTTCCCCAGATCATCTGGATTCATTTCAAGCTAGTTTAGGCCTACTTTGGGGACTGAAATGGCTTTGGGCAGTTTCCACTCACATTTTGATGCACCAATGATGCATAATGCAACCAGACCTGGGATTATGGAAAGGGCTTTCCTGGACTATGTTATATAACCAGTGAAAATTCTACTAGGGAGACATGATGCTCAGCACTTCATTTCTTATATTCCCCTGCACATCCTCCCAGCAAGGCAACCTCCTCTGCAATATCTACTTCCTTTGTGGAGCCTTAGCTGTAATTCCACAAGCAGCTGACAGCAGAAGGACAGAGAGCTACAGTAGTGCAGATGAGCGACCCAGGCGTACTAGGCAACCTAAAGGCAAGACCAAAAACAGGGAGTGAGCAGCATTTTGGACCTCAATGATTCAGGGCAAGGGTGAATTTTCCCATCCCCTGAAGTTCACTTCAACAGGCGGATGGAGCCACCACCTGTTGATCACCTGGTGTCACTTTGACAGCAGGAAAGCCAATGATTCTTTTCCCCTTGGCAGCCCAGCTTGAACTCAAGAGGACCCTACTATAAGTGGGATTTGCAGGCACCACCAGCTGCCTGGAAACTCTGCTTTGGTAAGGATGAGCTGCTCCCTATATTTTAGCATCACATTAGATATCACGGGCAGAAGCATGTTACATTACTCTGACGGACCCTTTAACAAGCCCAGGACAAAAAGCAGCTTTGGGAATCATAGAAGTGTAGAGTTGGAAGGGACCACAAGGGCCATCTAGTCCAACTCCCTGCAATGCAAGAATCTTTTACCCAACGTGGGGATCGAACTCACAACCCTGAGACCAACAGTCTCATGCTCTACCAAGTGAGCTATCTCTCAGGGTGAAGACAAGGAAAAGACACTCAGGAGGAGAGGAGCAGCATGGGTGTGTGTTTATGTGTGTGTTAGAGAGAGAGAGAGAGAGAGAGAGAGAGAGAGAGGTGCTTTGCTCCTGCTCTTAGTCATCCCCCCTTCTTTTTGCACCGTGGGGTTCCAAATAAAGGTTTACCTGCAAAATGGGACTGGTTCAAGATATAGACATTTAGCATAGCTGGAAAGGTACATCAGTATCGTGTATTAGTATCCTTTCCTTTTCAGACAGAACAAAGAAGGGACTGAGGTAGCACTTCACACTCTAGAGCAGGGGTAGAGAACCTCAGGCCTGGGGAACTGACTGTGGCCCTCCACACCCCTCTCCCCAAGCTGCACCCCCCTTCTCAGCCACCCCCCTCCACTGCCCTGCTTTGGAATGTGTCCTTGAGCTCTGCTAATGCCCTCTGGATGAGGATAGAGAGAGGTGTGTGTGTGTGTGTGTAGAAAGCAGTTTATGGTACAGAGGCGAGATTTAGTTCCTTTGCTCACTTTTACCTCTGGCCAGGTACCTCATTGGCCTGTGGCTCCTGGAAGGCTGCACAGAAGGAAATGTGGCCTTTAATTTGGAAAAAGATCCCCCACCCCTTCTTGTGGGGGTGGGACTTGATGAAATGAAGAAAATTCAGTCCATTTCTGTAGTGGAAACTATCTTGTGCTCACTCCAAGCTAGAAAGCTCTGGTGTGGAGAAGAGATGGCCCAGGCACCCTGAGAAAAGCACGGGAGTGAAGCACACACAAAGGAGACAGTAATAGATGAATCCACTTGAGGCTAATTATGATCAGAAGCAATTGCTTCTGTGAAGATGTTGGAGGCAAAGAGGGGGAAGGAAACATGAAAGGTTAGGGAGGGTGAACTAATGACCTTTGAGTGGCACAAAGGCACTTGAGGAACAGTACAGGAAAGAATGCCAGCCACGCACTGGTCAAGCCATGCGGTCAATGGGTTGTTTTAGGGTGGTACCAGGTCAAAATTATGAGCTTAGGGGACGCCATGCTTCATTGGGGTATGGCAGCTTCAAAATAGGAGGCATCCATGTATTTTTTGAAAAGGAAGTTTCAGCAGTCTCATATGCTAGGGAGTATGTTAGAGAAGTTGCATTGGTTCAGGAAACCTTCACCTTTGGTACAGCCATAGGGAAAGTGGAAACTGGCAGCTAGTGAGAAGCACAAAACCTTTAAAATCATTATTACATGGAGGTGTGGCATCTCGCACAGAGCCCCTTCCTTCGTTCCGCTTAATGTCCCAACACCTCACCAGGAAGCTAGCTCAGATAATCCAAGAATTAAAAAGGGGGCACAGGGATTCAGCCTGCCTCAACTCCTAACAATCTGACCTCTCTATCTAGCCGAACTTTTTGTGGCCCTCCAGATGTTGCTGGACTACAGTTCCCGTCATCTCTGCACCATCCTATTAGCCATGTTGTCTGGGAATGATGGGAGCTGGAGTCCAATGGGTTCCCCACTCCTGTTGTACATGAGCAAAGGGCCCTGCATCTCCTCCCTCCTCACCCATTTACCTGCCGCCTGCCTGTACCCCCAACTTCTCTCCCTTCCAACTCTTAATATTCCCACTCCCACCAGATGAGACTGGTATCCATGAGGCATTGCAACAAAAGTCTTCCAAACTATCATTAAAATAATAATAATAATAATGGTGGACCACACTACCGTTGAGTGAATTCTGAGATGCTCAGATCCCTTTCGTTTTATTTCCTATTATGTACCACAGCTGGGGTATCTCACTTGCCAGCATCCAAGAGGCCACGTGTGACATTGTGCAGGGGGCTCCATAGCAAATCTACTGATGCAGAAAAGGCATCAACTGAGGTAGAAAGGACATCAATTCCCCGACAATAGGACATTTCAACTCTCCTTGTTGTACGCAGCCCAAACTACCCAGTTACAAGAGAGAAACCTGTGATTGCCTTGTGTGTGTGTGTGGTCATCCTTCTCCCCCCCCCCTTCTGTTTTCACTATTTAAAACCCCCTCCATCACCTTGAAGTTGCTGGGGTTGGGAAAATCCAGGTACCTGTATGATTTTGGCTCCCATGGGGCCACCAGGAGCTTCGGAAGGTTTAAATGGGGAGGGAAAGTGGGGCTGACGGCGGGTCAACCACCTCCCCACACCAGCAATGCTGCTCTAGCTCAACCCCCACGGCTTTTAAGTAAGTACAAATCCGTCTGTCAGGGGGACAGCAGGCCTCCCAAGTTACGTGTTGTTTAGCCCGGGCAGTTGTCAAAAACAGCTGTGCCAAGCAGCGCCTTTTTTTAAAAAAAAGCAAGACACCCCCCCCCGCGCCTCCAGCCCACTCTCTTCGGCTTCTCCCCCACCCCTGCAAAATGGAAACCCTTTAAAATATAAAAGGGAAACGTGGAAGCGGATGAAAAAAAACCCCCACCCCCTACGATTCTTGCAGCAGCAAAGTGTCAGCCAGGCCCCAGGAGGGAGAGCAAAATAAAAGCCGCCTCGTCATACGAGGCTTTGGAGGAAAGGGGTGGGAGGTGGAGAGAGAGAAACCACCACCTTTTGTCCAGTTTTAAAAACGAAACAAATTTCTGAGTGGTTTTCCACCCCACCAGTGAGGGGTTGGGTCGGGTCCACCCTTTCAAACATTTGTGTGCAACAGCAGCCCACAAGATGCGTTTGTAACGGGGGTGGCGGGGAGAGTAGATGGGAACAACGGTGGCGTAACCAGGGCGAGAGGTACAGAAGCCGGGGGTCTTGTTTTTTTCCCCCTTTTCCTTCTTCTTTTCCTTATTATTTTTAAACTTCGATTCCCTCAGAGCTTGACGCTTTCCAGCAGCCAACAAGGAGGAGATTGAGAGCAAAGAATGCGAGACAATAAAACTTTCTCCCCCTGGGTTGTCAACTTTGCCCTCCAACGTGAGCTTGGGGGGAGACTACAGCGCCTCTTACAAAGCACTATGTGTACTCAGGGAGAGAAAAAAGAAGGGGGGGGGAGAAACACCGAGAAAGGCAGGTCACGGCCCTTTCGCTGCTCGGCCTGCCCGGGCTTGCCTGGTAAAAGCAGGAGTTTTCCAACACCAAAGCTTGTGGGCAGGACTCTTCCCCACCCAGGCACCTCAAGGCCTCGCTCCATTCCCGGGGGAAGTGGCGCGCTTCCCTCCCTAACTGCAAAACCACAAGCGAGGCCAGGGTGGGGAGGAGCGAGCGGAGCTTGCCAGGGGGTTTTGTGTGTGGAGGGGGGAACGTGGTGGAATCTTATTTGTTTGTTTAAGCCAGTCAGTTTCACAAAAAGCGTTGAGGGCTATTCTCCAAAGCGGGGAAGAAAGGAAGGTTTTTTTTCCTCCCTGTGTGCGAGCACATCAAATGCATTGCAGTTTGGCAGATCAAACAAGAATTGTGCAACGCAAACTGTGCAATGGCCATCGACCCTGCTTGCTGCTTCTTTTTCTTCCACAGCCATGCAGCTAATTTGGGTTAGAGCAATTTGCTCCCCAGCCCCCAGTTGAGGCGAACTCAACCCTTCTAGACAATGGGTTAGTTGCAGGCTTCTTCGGATTAGGCAGGCCTCTTGTTGGTAGAGGGCCTGAGCATCTTTCCCACGGGCCTGGGCTAGTGGAAATTGCCTTTTCCCCAACAGCAAATGAGAATGTTTTGTTCTGGTGTGCGCACAATCACTTCCCGCCTCCAGAACACCTGATCAAGACACTTAAAATGGCTGGGGTGCCTTATGGGGCGAGGGACACATTCCTCTCTCACACCCTGCATCCAGGGCTGTCTTACCCAATAGGGTTAGTGGCGCCATGGCCCAGCAGCAGGAGTCCAGGACCGACCAGGAACAGCTGCGATGGCATGCTGGCAGTGGCTCTTCCTACAGCCAGCCACGCTCTCTCACTTCCTGCCTGGGAGAGGAGGCAGTGGCAGTGGCATGCAAAGCTACACAGCGCCCTTCTCCCTCCTGCCCGCCCCGCATGGCAAGTGAGCCTCAAGCTACCCAGCGCAGGGGGCAGGAAGGATGGGAAGGGGGGCCAAGAACGTCACCCTCCGCCCCTTCCATCGAGGAAAAAGCTGGAGGAGGGATTCATTCAGATTTGGGGCAGTGGGAGGGGAAAGCTGGGGGGGGGTGCACTACCATTAGGACTCAGTTCGGAGGTAAGGATGGACTCGAGAGCATGCTCTCCATGCAGTTAGTGGTTAAAAACAAACACCAACAAAAAGTCCTATAAAGACGGGGGCGGGTTTTAAGGTCCTATTGCTTTGGAATTGAGGACTTTATTAAATTTTCTTCTGCCTTTTCATTTCATTTTGTTCTAAGGGCTTGTTAGAGATAATGTCTGGGGAACCTTTCCTAAAAAAGGTCAACAACTTTGGGAAATGGGGGGTGGGGTGGGCCTCAGCGCCGGAGGGATCTTTGCACCACGGCGCCAGATATGCTTAAGACGGCCCTGCCTGCACCTGCCACTTTGATTCCATAAAAACAAGCATCACAGAGCTGTAGAGTTGGAAGGGACCCTAAGGGCCATCTAGGCCAACCGCCGGCAATGCAGGAATTGCAACACAGAGTTCTCCAAGTGAGCCAGTTCCCAGGAAGCCAAACGCTGGCAATGATTGTGGAGAAGTTCCCTGGGCCCGGCTGGCATCAGATCTTCCCCACCCTTCTGTACTGCTCGCCCCCTTACCTGGGCAGGACTCTCTCGCCTCTCTGTAGCTCTCTACATGGCTGGCAGCCATCCTGCTCCTGGCGGGCCAAGGCGCCATCACTCCTGGCCAGCGCGTAAGTGGCGATTCCCTCGCCCTGCCCCGTTGTACCCCCACCGGCTCCCCTGAAAGTTCCTCAGAGAGAAAGATAATGCAGGAAGATATGGGTTGCAAGTTAATGAAACTGTGGCCCCCTGAGGGCTCCCCTGAACGTTCCTCAAGTCTCTCAAGGGTGCCTTGGTTGACAACTAATGCACTAGTGAGATCCTGTCCTCTGTTAGCCAGGAAGGATGCCTCTCTTTGTTCTTAGTATTGTAGCACAGCTTTGCCAACTTGGTGCTGCCATCCGTATGTATGGGGCTATGACTCCTGTCAACCCTAGCCAGAATGACTGTAGTCCCAAACATCTAGAGGGCACCACCAGCTTGCAGAAGACTGCTGTAGCACCTGAGTGCTCTCCGTCGTTTCACTGCTACCATCTCAGGAGTGGTGCCCATTCACAGCTTTCAGCAGGCTGGTGGCATTGCCTAAGCAACTAGAAGAAGAGGAGTTTGGATTTGATATCCCGCTATATCACCACCCAAAGGAGTCTCAAAGCGGCTAACATTCTCCTTTCCCTTCCTCCCCCACAACAAACACTCTGTGACTGAGTGGGGCTGAGAGACTTCAAAGAAGTGTGACTGGCCCAAGGTCACCCAGCAGCTGCATGTGGAGGAGCGGAGATGCGAACCCGGTTCCCCAGATTACAAGTCTATCGCTCTTAACCACTACAGCACACTGGCTCTAGCAATGGCTGAAACCCGAAGGGGTTGGTCTGTATAGTTCAGGACTCCTCCAGATGTAGTTCCAGGATTCTGTGGCATTACTGAGGCTTATGGAATCACACAAGGATAAACTTGGCCATTCCTGGTCCTTATCTGGATGTGCATATGCTTAGTGGGGTGTGGTTGATTCACTTTTGAACAACCACCTGGCTTAATTATAGCTGCAAGAATTGAGTTAGCTGGTAAGTGGAAATCTGTGGAGGGGCCTGGGCCAGAAGATTGGCTAAACCTGACCTGGGATGCAGTCTATATGGTGAGCTGGGGAGAAGATAGATCAGGGATGGGAAGGGAGCCTCTCCAGAGGTTGTTGGCAGAGGTGTTCCAAGGCTTCCTTGCACCCTTGGCAAGGAACTGTACTGGCACACACACACATGCCGTCCCATGTGCCCTTGGAGCCCCAATGGGCACTTGGATGACAGGGGAGGGACCCTGCAGGGTTGCTGCAACGGCCCACATCAGCAGACACATTCCTCTGCCAAGGTGCCCAGAGGAGCCTGCATGCATCACCTGGCTGTCCAGAGCAGTGGAGGAGTGGTTCAGGGAGTGTGCTCCTAGCCACTCCAAGCCAGAGTGATTTTTGCACACATACACCTGGACCTGCGCCCTTTGCAGGTACCAACCTGACCAACCCCTAGGTACGCCCCTGGTTGTTGGGTTCCAACTCTCAGCTTGACCAGTTGTCAGGGATGGTAGGAACTGGCGTCAACAACATCTGAAGGATTACAGGTTCCCAATCCATGAGGTAGAGCACATTTGTAGAGTCAAAACTGATTGATCTTAGTGATGTAATAAATCTGAATATGACTGTAACTAAAAGCTTGCTGCAGCTGTAACAAGAGATTTAAATCTGAACATGTGCAAGTTGCATGCATTAGGAACAACCCTCTTGTCCCCCCAATTCATAGCTCCCTTTGTAAGATTCATTTCGTTCCATCCAAGTGCTGTGTAGCTCCTTCTGGAGCCAGCAACAAATCTACAGCATTTCAGAGGTTGGCTCCTTCTTGGGAAAATAATGACTGTGCAGAGGACTATTGAGGAGCGAAGGTTCAACATAATACAATGGCCCGTCATTTGGATCAGCATGATTATTACTTTTTTGTTGCTTGTTTACCATATTCCCCCAGCTGTCCTGCAAACTATCTTCTTTTCTTGCTGGGCAAACACCAACACCTCAAACTGCTCTCCCCTTCAGAGGAAAAATATACACATAAGCCCTCCTCTTTTCCCCCTCTCTGGTTCTTGCCATCCTTTTATTTGTTGCTCTTTCTCTTCCATTGAGTACAGGGGTTGGCACAGAGCCATCTTGGCAACAACCTGCTTTCACTTGCTAATCATTCTAAATATTGAAAATCAACGCCTAGAATAAACAGCTCTGCAATGGGGCCCAGTCTTTGCTCAGTTTGGAAATGCTAATCTGCCCAGCTTTTGTTTCCTTCAGGAGGATTTGACGCCTTGCCTTCTGAGCAGGTCACAGCTGATGGTTCCCCAACCCCTACCCCCCCCCTTTACATTATTTTTTTCTCATCCTGAAAATTCGTCCCCTTCTAACATTACTCACTAGGGTGGGAAAAAATAAGGAATGGTGCAGGGGAGCAGAAGGGTTGGACACATGGTGCATAGTAATGAAGAAGTGTCCAAAGTTGAGGAATCCAGCTTCCAGTGCAGAGAAGAATCCAGAAATTCAGATATGTTGTTCAAATGCCCCTTTGCTTGGCAAAATGAAGCCAGAGATTTCGTGGGAATGGGCTCTTTTCTTCTTCTTCCCCTTTGTTCTTTTTGGGAGTTCTTGTGCTTGTTCTCATCAGTTGGATAGTCTAAATTTTAGGCTCTTAAAAAAAGCAGCAAGTGTCTTGGGATACAGTTCTAATCCAGGATCAAATGGGAAATGTTGAAGCTTAATAGCTTCATTGTTCAGTTTTGTTCCTCAACCAATTTTGGTTTGTGGGGCATTCTAGCCCAGTCCGTCCTCCCGCAACTGCCATAGGATTTACTAGATAAGAATTGCTCTCGTATCTGAAGCTGAAGTCCATTCCACACATTACGCAGAAGCAAACTCAGGTTGGCCACTAAATGTGCACTCAACAGATTGCTGCAGGCAGAACTCCCCAACTAGTACACCTGCAAGATAATGTACTGCAAGCTTGTGTTTTACATCTTAACTTAGGGGAGGTGGCTATGGAAGGAATTCAACCTAGCGCTAAGGAGATTGTTCCACCAGCATAAGGATTTCAGCTTGCAAGCGGAATGATCTCCCGTCTACTCACATGCTGTGTTCTGGGGGTTTCCTTGACCCATACACTGAACCAATAGGGAGGTGCAGGGGTGGGAGAAGAGATGGGAAAGCCCCATTGCACTAGGAGAAGTCCTTGCATTGGCTTCTGCTAGTGCGACTCATTAGTTGACTCTAGCCCGTAGTTCAGTGGTAGAGCCCATGCCTTGCATGCACCGGGTTCCAGCTTCAATCCCTGGCATCTCCAGATAGGGCTGAGGAAGACGTCTGTCTGGAACCCTGGAGAACTGCTGCTAGTTCATCTACTGCCAGTTCATCTACTTATTTTCGGTGTTGTATCATCTTACAACATTTGTGAGTGACACAGCGCAAGAGAACAGACAGTGCAATCCTAAGTGTGTCTACTCAGAAGTACAAGTCCTAAGAGTTCAGTGGGTTTGCTCCCAGGCAAGTGTGTGCAGTGTTGCAGCCTCAGTGACATGTTTTGGTGTCTGATTTGAAAATAATCTATCACTGAATCATGTTTATTATCCTACCAGTTCTAAAAAAGACCCAGCACTGGAAAAGATCTCATGAGTTCCCCAGGCCATTCATATTGTTGCCATAGCTAGAGAGTGGATCTAGGAAGCATCTACTAGGGTTTTCTGTTTTATTATCATTGCTTAAGGTCTAAACCACTGAGCCTTGGGCTTGCAGATCGGAAGGTCGGCGGTTCGAATCCCCACGATGGGGTGAGCTCCCATTGCTCGGTCCTTTCTCCTGCCAACCTAGCAGTTCAAAAGCACATGAAAGTGCAAAAATATCCCTTCACTTGTTAACTAGTATTCTAATACTATTAGAGTATCAGAATACGGAGTACAGCCAATGATAATCTAGCTTGGTGGGCAACAAACAGGAGAGATCTCTCACAGGCTTGAAGGCAATACCTCCATATTGAGTTGCCAGCACTTGGGGGGGGGGGGAATCAGCTTCTGTGCTTTTAAAGAGGTTTGCTTTGCGGTCATTAGCAGGTAACTATGCCTATCACATGCCATGAATTTCCTTTCACCCACTTAAATGGGGTGTTTTGGTTTTTTGCCATTGTCACAGGAGCAATCTGGGTGGACACTTTGAAAGTGTCTAGTGCTTTGTATTTGAATGGATTGAACTTCTAGAGGTGTCTTGCTGCTCACAAAAGTTAGCACTGCCCTTGGC